CACATGGCATGGCAGACCTCTCCTGACCCGCCTGCTGCTCCCCTCAGCAGTGTACTTCGTCGATCTGCCTGTTCTGCACCCCACTCTGTCTCTGGTGAAGCCTCTCACCGCCCCTGAACCTCTGGCCTGTGCCCCAGTTTCTGTATGTACAAATAAATAAATCTAAAAAAAAAATGTACAAAATGATGTAAAAATAAACATATTATATTAAAAAAAAGAAAGTTTGGTTGTTAGGATGAGAAGAGGGAAGAAACTGAGTGAAGATGGGGATGCATAGGGTCTTATTTTCACATGGGAGGTATCTGAACATGATTAAGTACGGACAGGGTTGGTAGACAGGAAGCGAATGGAGAAGAGAAAAGCAGATTAAATGAAACTGAGCAGGTGAAGAAAGACTGGGACAAGCTGTGGGTCAGTCTTAGGTCTGCTGACAATTCCATGGAGTGGGCTGTTGCCACTGGATTATCTTTTCATATTAAGGAGGAAGTGAAATCATCTGCTGAGAGGAATGGAAAGACAAGGTATGAAAGATCTGAGGAGAGGAGCTGCAGTGAGATAGCCCCTGTGGATGACAGAGGAGAAGGCAGAAACAACACATCCCCTTCCTCCACCAGGAAGGTGGAGGTGTGACTGTGAAGGGACCCCACCTGAGCAGCTGGGCAACTTTCTTTCCAGCAGTGTCAACAGCTGGGGATGACCTGGGGTAAGGATTTTTCCAAGACAGAAGAAGCCACGAAAAAGAAAACTAACTAGAAAAAAAAATATCACATGGGACTATGGTGGTGGCACACGGGTGATTTGGTGATGGGAAACCCACGGGGTTTACAATTGAGATGGAAAAAAAAATGTGCAAAATGATGTAAAAATAAACTTTTGTAATAATTAAAAAATATATCTATATATCAGATGGCCATTACTTCTTGAGGGTTAAATGAGTGAATCACCACTCACACCCTTTTCTGACTGCCCCATGGGCAACTATGAAGACCCATTACAGGACACTAAGGGCAATGTCTATCTGCCCTGTGGAACAAGCAAACTAAGCTGACTAACAGGTTTCATTTATGTCTCTGTCGGGTCTCTCCTTTTTTTTTAGCATCTTACCTGCTCAAGAGCATCTCCTTCACTAAAATCACCTTTTATGTTTTTTCCAGATATCAGCTCTTCCCAAGTAAACAGTAGTGAGTCTGTTACTTCACCAAATGGATTAAAGTCAATTAGCCACACCTTTCCCTGCAGTACAGAGAAAATGAGTTAGAATAAAAACAAACACCTAAAGTCTACAATCTAATCACAAAGATCTTTGTATTTTACCCAAAAGATAATTCTAAGAAACAGTTTAACTTATTTACAAACATAGGCCCCCAACCTCTCTCAGGGCCCCAAGTTTAATCAAACAGCTACCTGTGAGAGCTGACACGGAAGAAGAAAAGCCTAACAAAAACAGACATTCCATTTTCTCCCTCTAGTCATACAAGAGAATGTTAAGTGAAAAAAATCCAAGCAGGAAAAAAGGGAAAACTAGAAAAAAGTTCATCCAAAGTGTCATGACGTAGGGCTCTCAATCAAGGGTGTCTCTGTGTCCTTTCCTCTAGAAGCTGAGAGCCACTCCTGACCCCTGAGAGGAGGCTGAATTTTTAAAAAACACACTGAAAGCATGTTTCTTTAAATTTAATATGGTTGGGCCCTCCCTGGTGGCTCAGCGGGTTAAAGCACAGCACTGAGAAACTAAAGCCACTTCCGCATGAGTTCGATCCCAGCCTGCCCTGGAGGTGACCACATGACGCGGCACACCTCTCCTGACCCGCCCGCTGCTCCCCTCAGCAGTGTACTTCGTCGATCTGCCTGTTCTGCTCCCCGCTCTGTCTCTGGTGAATCCTCTCACCCTCCGTATCTCTGGCCTGTACCCCAGTTCTGTACGAATAAATAAATAAATCTTTAAAAAAAATTTAATATGGTTGTTCAGTTTATATGTTAGACAGAGGGAAAAATGAAAAAAAATATATCAACTTTAAAAGAAAGTTTAATCTCCTACTCTAAGCTGGTAGGCAATCCAATAGGTTCTAGCGTCAGGGAAACAGTACTTCTGTCAGATTGAGTTTAGAATCAGGGTTATCTTGGCATAACGTGGCAGTGCTGACATAAAAGAGTTGATGATCTGTAAAATCCTGCCAAGAAAGTGAAATCAACATATTTGATCAGAGAAATATGTGTGACATTTAGTAAGAGTTTCCTGAAGGTTTTTCTTTGCTTCTCTTGTTTCTCACTGAAACATTTATATAACTGTAGCATTTTGTTGCTGAGAATTAGTTTTTTCTAGAATGTGCGGTAGCTATGTTGATTACTTGATCAGATGTGATGGTGGAAAGAACCAGGGGAGGCATCACAAGACTGAGTCACACAAAGGGATGGGTAGAAGGGGCTAGTGCAGCAACTGACAAAGCCATAAAATCAAGGTCAACCCAAGTCTGTGTCCGGGATGCCTGAATAGCTGCAGGAGTTCCCAGCAGACAACAGACTGTTGGGCTGTGTCTGAAGCTCAAATCCAAGAGGTGAAAGATAAGGACAAAGAGACAAAGGTCATCAGGAATCTCTTCAGAAACTATTCAAAGTCAACAACCTAGGCACACAGGGAATGAGCCCCTCCCAGGGAGACGCTGTATATATCAGGGCAGTCTCTCCGCCAGCTCGGGGCAACCACTCCTCTGCCCACCTGTGCCTATGCAGGTGCTTCTTTCCACCCACTCTCTCCCTCTGTGGGGCAGCAGTGTCCTGCTTGCCCATAACCTGTGCCATGCCAGTATAACTGGGTGGTCCTTAGGAAAAGGGGAAGTTCCGGTTCCCTGCCCCACCCAGAAGGAGGGTGGAGCTGAGCAACCAGACATGCGGGCTCTGGGGGTCTCTTGGCCTGGTGGTTCACATCTGGTCGTTTGGCTCTCCGATAGGTGTTCAGTGTGCTATTGGAGTCCAGGTGAGCAGAACTGGTAGGATATTCTAGTTAACTTGTATTTCTCTCTCTCTTTCCCTGGGTTGTTCCTTTACCTTTCTCCTTGTAAATAAATCCATTACTAAACCTTTTTGTGTGTGTCCACAGTATGATAACTATGGTGGAATCTATCCATTAAGTCCACTTGCCCCACCACAGTTAAAAAAGCAGACCCGGATTCTCCCTGGTGGCAAAGCAGGTTAAAGAACAGCAGTAAAAGCTGGTCAGTCACTCCAGTGCAAGTTTGATCCCTGGCCCCGGGGGGTGATCTATATGGCACAGCAGACCTCTCCTGTGGCCGACCTCTCCTGTCTCGCCTGCTGCTCCCCTCAGCAGTATACTTCATCAATCTGCCTGTTCTGCTCCCCCCTCTGTCTCTGGTGAATGCTCTCGCCGCCCCTGCACCTCTGGTCTGTACCCCAGTACTGTATGCATAAATAAATAAATCTTAAAAAAAAAAAAGTTGTTTAGGCTTAAGATTATACATTCAGGAAAGTGCCTAACACACTATGCAAATACCACTGAGTAAATGTAAATATGTTTTTAAACCATGGTTTAAATCTCTTTTCAGAAACTGGGTGTTTATCCTGACATGTTTCACACTTTGAAAACACGCAACTACTTTCAGTTCTGAAGATGAGAGCAGTAATTACTAATGTTTGTATCCAACTTAAGACATTCATGCAAGTTACATATCTGCACCTCCCTGCCAGCCCTACTGAATCACTGTCAATCTGGACATTTGCCAGGAAAATATTAAGACCTTGGCAAATTCCTTATTTTCAAATGCCATTATAAATGTAATTGCTTCAATTTTAATCTCTAAAATGGGAACAAACAATGCATATTTCAGAGGGCTATATGGAATAAACAAGGCATTTAGTTAAATGACAATAAAGCCTTCCTGAGCTGCCTACTGAGGACAATGCACTTGATTTGATTCTAATTTGACTCTGTCTGTTACCAGCCACATTCCATTAAAAATTAGAGATTATCCTATTGGAAACGCTTGGTAAAAGCAAGGCATTTGACACATCACAGCTGTCAAAAACAGTGAGTTGCATGAGGGGTCTGACATGACTGGTGTCTATCCATTAGCGGCAGAGTCAGCTGCAGCCTTGGACTGTCTCCATCAGACCAGGTTGCTGTCCCTTCCAATCCACAAGCTTGGTTTCCTTTTTCTAAGGTTTGTTCCACTGAGAGGAAACTTCCAAGTAAACATTCCTCTTCTTAACCAAATCTCGAATATAACTCATCTTTAAACTCTAGAAGACAGTGGTGAAAACAGAATAGGGGGGTGTTGTGATATAACAGAAGTTAACAGTTAATAGTCATTTGGTGATATGACCAAAATATGACTCAAAGCTGGCTGATAGGGGAGAGGAAGGAGATCTGTGGGTAACATTTGGGAAACATATGGATAACATATTTGGAAAACACACCTGTTATCTTTTTAATAGCTAAATCAATGAGCACTAATCATGGGACATTTAGTAATCCAAATTTCTTTTAAAAGATTGTATGTCTTGACATTAAAATCTCTGCTGTAGGGTTTAGCATCAGGCTTTTGTTTTCTTTTTCACTAAACTTTAAGATTTAAGAAAAAATGTAAACTGTACTAAATGCTCATTTCTAGACTAAAGACTCAAATCATGCTATGGATCTTTTAGCTGACTAAAAAGAATTCCTGGCCACATTTAACTGTGCAAACTGAACTATTTTAAATAGGTTCAGACTCCTGACAAAAGTGGAAAGTTGACTTTATGGTGCCCATTTGGTCATTTGTTAAAATCATCCAGAAATTTATGACACATAATTATCGATGATAGTATATTGCTTGATGTTTAGTACATTTTAAGGGGAAATTAGCAACCACTATGGATTTCAAACACCTCAGCAGGTTTGAGGAAATATTTGATGACCAGTGGCCCGTTGACACATATAATGCCTAATATTCTAATTGTTATATGGCCAGTTCTGACTTTTAAACACGTGGAAAAGTTTCTACTTACCCTACTGTCTCTATATATATCAAACACAACTGTAAGGAAGAAAAAAACTCAAAGTTAATAATCAACTACTATCTTCATGATATAAGCCTCCTTTGAGGCATTTTAATTATTTGCATTAAAAATGCATTTTATTATTTGTGACTCAAATAGCTAACATAATTAACTAACCTTGAGGACATCATGTTTCTAAAAGGTGAAACTTCCAACATAAAAAAAATATCCTGCAGTATTTTATTTAAATAATTTTGTTTTCATTTTTTAAACCCTCAACCATAATCCCTTAATTAAAAATTCAAACCAAATACTGACATCATCTCAAACTTATTATTATGAACAAATATATGTACTAGTGAAAGGAGCATCAACCACTTTCTTATTTGACAGGCAATGAAAGAGTAAACTTTATACTATCAAAGCATAAAATCTAGCTACATTTATGGCACAATTAATCTTTTTTAGATAAAATCTGTTAGAATACCTAGGTTGGGCAAGTTGAAAATTATAAATTATAGCAGATATAAATTTAAGATGCATGAAAACATTCCCTTCTCCACAACATACTTTCAATTTTTGAGAACAATGCAAAAGTGTTTACATTGTAAAGGTGCTGTTTGATTATTCAAATAAGAAGTTAGAAAAGTAAATGAGTCAAAAGAATGTAGTACTAATAACAGAAACACTGTTTTCTGCAGACAGAATCTTTGAAATATATAATAAAATATCTAAGTAACAGGAGTTACTATCTCAATATTAAAGTAAGGTAAAATTAACACACAAACCATCATCAATACCAAGTAGCTAATAATGTTTAAAATAGTATTTCAAATCCAGTTTGAAATACTGTGCCATGGTAAAGTAAGGTTCAGTAACATTATGTATTTCATTTCACTGAAAAAATACTCACAATCCTCATCTAAGAATTTATACTGTATGTGTTTCTTGAAAAAGTCTTGTATACATCTGCAAATTTCTTCTTTTTGTTTAGAAATATGATCATAGTATTGTGTGTAGTCTCTCTGAGAAATACCTGACAAGAAAACATTTTATACCATTATTACATGTTATTCTTTTCAAAAACACCAAAATGTGGTTTAAATCTTTTTTTTGAGAAAACCATTAAAGTTGGAAAGAAGACCAATCAGATGAATGCTGCATTAAATACTGCTGGGCATTTGACAGAGGTATAAAATTTATCAGTTGTAAAGATTCATAAGGACAGTAGAATCCTAAATTTCCAACTGCGACTGCCATTCATTCTTACTTTGGAAATAGGAGTTATTTTTACTTACTACAATGGAAAGAATTTGAAACCATAAAAATGCTTATTATATAAAAAGTGGAGGTCAAGTACTTTTTCTTTTATTTGTCCAATGGACTCTACAAATTGGTATTCTTCTCTCTGGGAAAACATAAACTGTTCCTTACCATATGTCTCCCAAATGCATACTGTATTTTACAGAAACAGACCATTTTTCTTACTCAGATATGCTACCCTGCCTTCACCAGCCAGGGTAAAGTAAACATTCCTTTCTTCAGAGCAACTTGCCAATAATATTCCAAATACAAAAAGGAACTATTGTAAGAACTCCCTCAATTACTCTACTCCTAGGAAAAAGGACTTTTGCTCTGAAAGAGCTTCCATCCAATTTCCTGATTTTCCTGATTTAATGCCAATCTAAATCCCTTTGGCGTGCACTCTCTCTCTCTCTCCATATATATATATAAAAAATACATATATATATGTATTTTTTTCAAGGGTACCTGACAATATGATACATTTAACACCAAAGTTACTTTTAGGCACAAATGTCAATATCACATTCAATAAATAAATAGTGCTGATTTGACTCTGTTCAAATCATACTTTATTTGGCTGAATATAAATTTTACTTCATGAAAAACATGCAGACATAAAAAGAACAACTTGTCTTTAATATGTGACTTGAGTAACAGTAAACAAAAAAATTATATGAGGAAAAATGGATTGTTTTTAAATAATGCCCTTATTTCTCTAAATACTTTCTCTTGCTAGAATAATAAACAGTGCTCCAATAATAGACACAAAGTTTTAAAAACCTGACTTTTTATGATACCTAAAATAAGCAGTGTGTTGCTAATACTACAGGAAAATCCTAAAGGGAAGGTAGGTACTATCATACATATCCTAAGAGAATGGTAAATGGATTTCCATTTCTGAAATCCAGACAGACATGATTAATTAACAATACTGTCTTCCTTGGAAGTGGAATGTGGTCTCAGGATTCTTGCCAATAAAGTTTTTTCCAGAGTAGTACCTATTGGTGAGAAGTAGCATCTATTACCAAAAAACTGATTGTTAGCCCATCCAAATAATTGCTAGAAATTTATTTCTATTAAGTATGTATTCTTTTAATCATTATTTCATGGACATGAAACAAACAAACCTTACCAATAAGTTTGTTTTCCTTGACAAAACATCTGAACTCAGCTCCAGGAATTAATTCGCACCATTTTCGAAGAACAAGCTGCAGAAAAAGGAGAAAAATGTAATACAACTATGTAACAAGAGAGTTACCAGTCTACAAGATAAATTTTTGGGAACTGTATCTTAACAGTTTTCATGATCCAATGTATTTTTTATAAAGAGGCATCATAAGTCATTCTTGATATAAGATGTACGAAGTAAATTAAAAGCAAGGTTAACTGTGTTAAAAGCCTTATGATAAAATGCATCTCCGTCCTGCTGATCATTTTGAGAGCCTTAACATAACATACAAGGATGATGAAGTAAAATCTTAATACTGTGCCTTAAGATGTTCTGTAATTTATGTTCTTCAATCCTTTAAGAATATCAAGGAATAAAATAATTTCAAATTTGTTACCTCAAGCACAATCTGTAACAAGCACCAAAACTTGGCTCTAATGAAAGCATCTGGTTCACCACAAAAAAATCACTATAACCTTCTCATGAGTTTTCCATATTTTAAAGTAAACCACTTTCACCAGTGGTTCAAGTTATAAATAGGTCTTTTATTATAATTATTTAATATGTACAAATTCCCAAGTATGGAACATACAGCAGAACTTAATAGATGACATGTAAAACATTTACATTTATAAGTGAAACAAATATAAATGTAAGACAAACAGCCACTAACAATCAGTTACAGAAAATATTTCATGAACAGGGGAAATGCTCACACTATGCTTCGGGTGAAAAAAAAAAGTCAAGCAATGTGTTTTATGAAGTGTGTATATGTACACACACACACACACACACATCTCAAGAAAGGGGAGTTAAAGACCACATTGTTAATGCTGCAAATACATCTGGGTGACAGTTCTCTTACATTTTAAAATTTTCGCTAAGTTGATTTTCATAAAAAAAGAAACCTGCATTGTGAAAAAAATGCCTTAGAAATTTGTAGAGCACTGATTTTATTTTTCATTACAGTGAGTGTTGTCAAGCTTTGTGGTTTTAAGGGTGAAGTTATTAAAGAACCCCAAACTAAAATATTACATTATTCTTATAATATATTCTGGCATACATATTATTTATAGTAGTAACTTTGACTTAAGCAAAAAAGAAATGTTAAAAGTTTTTGGAAATGTCTGTATTATTTTTATTGAACTATTCTGAATAGGTACTACACATACTGTGATTGATTAAAAAATACAGAAGTTAAAAAATAAATCTTTTTCCTATCCTACTCCTTTTCCTCCTCTCAGAGGTACCAGTTTTGACCATTTCTTGTATATCTTCCTCAAAATTTCTAAGAACATCAAAACTTACAGTATATGCAAGCATGCATACATGTCCTCTACATACAACAGAAGCATAAGGTTCTCTTTGCAACATTTTTCATTTTAATTATGCTCATACTATCACTTTCCTAGAATTTTAAACTGGGTTTCATTTCCTAGAATTTTAAACTGGGTGGCATAGCCCCAGAAGATCAAACTCTAGTGAAATGGATCGTAGAGGCAGATGATGACAACATAGATTATACCTCAGGCAGGGTAAGACGAGAGAAACAAATCTTTTTCATCTTTGTGTTGCCAGTACAAAGAAGTGAAGATATAGCAGTGTTTAGTTGATGTTTGTTTAGTAAAACAACAGACATGAATATATACATACAAAAAATGTTACAAAACATTTAATGAGCTGGGAAAATGCTTATACTCTGCTATTAAGTTAAAAAAAAAACCTCATAAATGATATATAAAGATCTCTATTACAGAACTAATTACATACCTTTTGTTTGCTGCACCTTCCCATGTAAATTCCCTAACTGAACTTTCCCTTTCTTTCCCTGACATCCATAGTCTTAACTAAGCTATTTGAGATGGTATCTAAAGCAACAAGGGTCAATTAGTCTTACTGGATATCTGCCATGTATACAGGAGGTAAGCATTTTATTATTGAACTTCTTTTTGGCCTTTCTCTTAAAAAAATCTCAATTACAAGTGCTGAAAGATTTAGTGATTGTTTGGGTGGCCTAGGAAATCGTAAATTAAATGTCCCACATATGGCATAATCATATAAGATATGCCAGTATATATACTCAAAACGAAATTACTTGATAAACTGAGTCAGTGGGCAAATTTTGAAAGCATGGGTATATACATGCATAACTAAAAGCAAATAAATAATGACAACATTTAAAAAAATCCCTGGACAAATTCTAATTGGTGTTATAAATGCAAGCATTTAAGTATTTCACAACATGAAGCAAGGATGGCCATATTCTAGTCAACAAATGAGGAGCTGTCAGAGTTTTTAAAAGTACTGCATTTTGACAATCCAAGTGCAAGAAGAGCCAGTCATAAAGATAAGCAAGAGCTTACCAGGGATGTAACTGAAACCTGTTAGCTTTAAAAAGGAAACTATACTCTTAATTCATTTCTGACAGTTAAACATTAGGGATGATTGAGTGTGCCTGTATATGTATGGAAAATACTTCAAAACCTGGAAAGTAGGGAATAAAAACCTGAATCTACTCTATTTGAATTCTTATTACTATTTTTAATAAGGTAGCTTTTTTTTTACTATCCTTTAATTCTCACTTCTGTATATAATTTGTGAAATGAGTGAACAATATAAAAAATAAAAAATTAAGAGGTCCATTAGGTCTTAATGGTAAACTGGTGATAATTGCCTTGCCTTGCACATGAGGATAAAAGTATAGCCAAGTTAAGCTGTGTAGTGAATATAGAGGTATATGCTTCATTGCAAAATATGTATATACTGTAGCATTTGCACACTACTTCTACATATATTCAACACATAGAGAACATTTTCATTTGATATATTCCATAAATTGTAAAATTCAATGGTTTGAGGTTTCCAGAGAAATTGATCCAAAAAATTTCACTCACATCACTTAAGAATACATAGCAATTCTCAACATGTCTTCATCTAGAATTATCACTTCATCACAATTTAAGAAAAGTTTCTTACCTCATATTCTATACAAGGATCTGGGGAGTCATCAGTACAATGAATAAATCTTTGAAGGAAAGAAAGGCAATTGAATCTTTTTGGTAAGTATTAGTACATATTTATTTATAATTAATTGAGAGTAAGGGTTTACTAAAAGCATCCAGAAACAGAAGACTAATTCATTAAATTCAGTGAACACATATTAAATACCACTTGAAATCAGGTGGCTAAGTAGGGAACTTGAAATGTTTTATTTGTTCTCAAAACAATCATATGTGCTAATATAATCTCCATTTTCCAGCCTCCTTTCCCCACCAAAATAAAGTAATTAAGACCCAGGAAAGACTGATTTGGTACCCAAGCTACAGAGACCAAGTGACCAAATTGTCTATTCCAAACAAAGACAGGACAATACTGTTGCTTTGCATTCTCACTGTTTTTCCACTTCTCTACTTATATTAATCCTGCCCAAAAAGCTACCTAAAGTTAAATCTAAACCTTTCCCACATGCCATTTAAAATAACATTTGCTAGAATTATTACTCCCTAAGTTTATATTTCATGAACATTTTTTTTGTATTGCTTATTAAATGTCTACTATGCTAAGGACTGGGCTAGGCACTGGGAATGATAAAATGACAGAATCCCTTGTCCTTTAGGATGCTAGTCTAGAGGGGAACTCTAACAAAAAGGCAAAAGAATTTCAAAAGACTGGAAATAAAAATACGTTGAAAGACAAAGACTAATGACAGCTACCTTTCTGTCTTCTGTGTGTGTGTGTGTGTCTGTGTGTGTAAGAGAGAGAGAGAGACAGAGAGAGAGAGAAGGGGAGGTCTTTCCCCTCAAAGGACTCTCTTCAACAGAAAGAGAAGGGTACTTGTGAATTTAAGACAAGAACAAGCATGTACTAATGCTTGTAAAAAAATACTGTTATATTTATTATATCAAATATACATTACTTTTATTTTGACTTTTAAATCTGAGGAATTAAAATATACATAAAGGTACAAAATATGCATGTATCACTTTTATAAGAAGTTAATTCAAGTTTATTTTGAAAGTTAATATTTAAGCTTCCAACTAACAATAATGTAATGAACATTATGATAAAAAACTACCTGCCTATTTGAATTTAAATGTGTCTTAAAAGATATTAGATGGAAGTAGAGAAATGGCAAGTTTTAATAAACAAAATGAAATAGCATCACCTTAAATTTTAGTGTGCTAGTAATTATTACCATTTTAATTTTTCAATTGTGACTTTAACCATGGGTGTGGCATATATTTAAATCTGATAATAGACTAGCTCTTGTGAACATATTTTTCTATAAAGAGAACAGTAAATTGAGGGTCTGCATCCACCTATTTTTAAAATGTTATAGGAAAACATTCTCTAATTTTTTAAATGCTTCTGTATTCCTACGAATATTGATTTCAATCCTTGGTTAGTGCTCATACTGTGCACTTAAGTAATATCATTTTATAACATTTTAAAAGTACTAAATGGTTTAACATTTAATACTATTTAAAAACTTGACAAGTTTCAGAAGGTAAAAGTGAGAACATATGAGGTATATGAGACTATTATACAAGACATCATCTTACTAAGATGATGAACCAGATGGCCGAGTATCTGAGGAAAATGCTCGGCCATCTAGTTGAGACTAACTGGAAAGGTCACCAATAAAACTTCCAGGTACTTGGCCAAGACACCTCAAAGAAGGTGTGTGAACAGTTAGATTCCATCTGCAATGGAAGAGTTTGAAAAGCAAAATGAGTAAGAAAACGCGTACCAACAATACTTGCATTTTTGTAATTCTTATGTAAATTACTGCCCCCAAATTCCATATTAGGCAATAAAAAAAAGTCTTAAAATCAAGGCTACTTACTACATTGAGAATACTAGTAGAAAATATGTGTATTCTATTAGAAACACTGAAATATCTTTATTGAAAGCATCTGGCTGAACCAGATGACTAAAAAACTTGAATCTGAAATGGAAAAAAAAACTAAACTAATTCTTTCATTTTCAAAAATAACGCTTTCATAATTGCCAAAAGAAAGCAGTACCTCAGTGGTTAACAGTAAGTCATTGACCAAGGAAAGCAGTTACACCTACAGTTCTTCTCTGAATACATATGTAAAGTCACTATGGAAGAGTTAGTAAAATTTTTAAATCCCAACTCAGCATGTAACACAAAATTATAATACCAGGTTAAAAACTTATGAGCAAAGGCATAAAGTATGTGGCAATACCGAGTATTTCCCCTAACACCACAAATAAGTTTAAGTAACATTTGGAAGTTATGCTTGAAGTAGGAAGTAATATGAATTGGTCTGAGGTCACCTTGGAATCTGGGCTATTGTTAGAGAATTCCAAAAGTAAAAATCAAAAATCAATCCAGGTTCTAGACTTATTAGCTGTCTACAAAAATGAGAAATAATCAGCTCTATCCATCCTACCTTCCAACAACTCTAGCAGTTCCCAGCAGAGGCAGAGCTAGATGACACAGTACTTCTGTTGAGAAATCTGCCAGTCTTACTGAAGTTTCCATCTACACAGCTTGCCCTTTCTGTTAGTTTTTAAGAACTCTTTACCTCTGACTTTTACAATGACAGTAAGATGTTTCTTACTGAGACACTTGTTTTTCTTTAGTATTTTTATCTTTTAATCATTTCTGACTTTCTCTTTTAACAGGACTCTTCCCTCATTTTCTCTTCTTCCTTCTAGAACTCCTATTTAGTCAGAAGTGTAGTGGGACAGGGTCAAGACAGACAAAATTTTTGTGCTTCTATAAGTTTCCTTGGCACATTGATTTTTACAACCTCAGAGCTATCTTTCCAGGAAAAAAAGAAGCTGCAGACCCAGAAGCAAGGAGTCACAGACTTTGAGCCCAGACCAGTTCAAACTGGAGCTGTGAGCACACAGCCTCCATAACATGCTCACGCTGGAGATGGTCAGAGCCTTGCACAACCACTGAGCTGCAGCGGGATGGTGCCCAACACTTACAACAAGAAATGGACTGTTGCTAATAAAGTTGAATTCCTTTGTTCTTAAAGCCCCAATTCTAAAACCTTTTTGGTGCCTCGCCCCAGTACCGGGAGGAGTCTTTCTCTTGCCTAAAGAGGTCTCCCTTAGAGCTTCATCACTAACCAATAAACACTGACTCCTTGCCTGCCCTCACCAGAGTCTGTGGAGTCCTCTTTCAATCTAGATGCAAGGGTCTCAAGAGCCTTTTCCGATGCTTGAAAGCAGGACCTCTTGATCCACCCCTCTGACTCTGAGGGGATGGAGCAATAGACAGCAACTGGTAACACTGCTGACTTACCTGCTTTTTTTGTGGGGACAAGATCAGGCTAAGGGGCCTCAGACCAATTCCTTTGTCCAGAGACATTATCATATATGTGTAATATCTTACCAGTTATATTTTATCCAGTATGCCTCTTTATTGCATAATTGCAATTCATTTTTTATGCTGTGTCTAGGATAAAATCTCATTACATAGCTCATATTCAATAACCAATTTACCTTCTTACTTACATAGGTAACTGAGTTTTTAATTCTCATAACCAGCTTTCATTTCTTGTGAACTCAGCTATTGGTATATTATTTCATCTAGCATTTTAAATTTTACCCAGCATTTCTAGATGCTTGTAACAAAATATTTTTCAAGTTATTTCAGCTAACCATTTAGCTAAAACAGAAACTAATTGTACCTTACAGTTTTTATAATTACAAATAAGAACATTTTGAATTTCATTTGAAGCTCTTTACCAACTTGAATAAGCTAGCTATTATTAAAATTTAATAGCCAACTTTATGTATATTTATAAGAATACTGTTTTCTTAACACTCATAAAATTCTAGAAAATGTTTACATCTTCTAAAATATTTTCTTGGTTCAGCATATATTTTATAAGAGTTTGTAAAATTTTTTGACTGAAATTTTCAAGATGTAAGCCCTGTTATTCAAAGGCACTCATTTACAAATCTAGGAAGAAAGGAGATTCCAATGTGGAATGCTAAACTCATAAATCTTGGCAGGTAAGTTCAATTATTCTGGTTACTCATAACAAGCATAAATAGTATTAAAATAATGAATATCACATTACCTACAATGTGAATTACAGACTATTCTCAATATACAACAGTAAATATTTTGAGAAAATAAAAACCAAAGATTTAATTTGTGAAAGTTACCATAAAACTACGCCAGTACCTCTTCAGTTCAGTTTGAAATTAACCAGTAATGGAAATTTTAAGAGAATCAAATAAAAAATACGCAAAAAAAGAAGGAAAAGAAAATACAGTTCTAGTCAAAACCATAAAAACTGTGCATCCTAGCACAGATGGTTGATAGAATGTTATCTTTTTTTTGTCTCTTTTTATATTCTAGCTACTACCCAAATTGTCCTCCTTACTGAACCAGCCAAACGGTCACACTGTAAACACGCATACTCATTACACCCTAACCATATCTTAAGATTGATAAACCCTTTCCTGTGAACTTTATTGTGATAAACACATAACTCTTATCACATTGTTCCAAGGGTCTAACATTGAAGAGAACAAACGTACACTCAATGATAATGATGCATGTGTGTCCAACTAGGGGAGTGCAGTGACCCTGAAAAAAAGAATACAGTACAACACAGAAAGTATAGTGAAATATATCCTGTGCTTTATTACAAACACTGAAGGAAAAGGATGAGAAAGGAAATGTTTATTCACTGTAACTATATAACAATAACTCAGAAATATTGTGCAAGAAAAATCCAGAAGAAAGTGGAAACAAGAGAAAGCTTCAGTGGAAAACATGTTGAAAGTGAATCTTAATTTGCTGGGGGCAAGATGTAAGATGCTAGCTAGATTTACAATAGCAGCTACTCAAATGGTGTGAGTTCTGTCTCTAATTTGGGCAAGTCAGCTTGGTAGTATTGATATACTTTGAGAACAGTACCTATGTTAAGTTTACTCTATACAACTTACTCACTGAGATCACAATTTCACCATTTTTATAAACAACGAGAAACCATCATAATTAAAACTTTGTAAAATGGCAGAAAATAAGATCAACAATTTTTTAAAAGTGGCATGTCATGATCTTTACTAAGGTGTAATCTTCACCAATAACTTTTTTAAAACCTGACCTTCTTACATAGTAAATGACTCTTAAACATAAGAAAAAATCTTAAGTTTGGGGTAGAAAAAAAAAAAAAGAAAAGAAAAATGTAGAGACCAGGGAAAACTTAAGCATCAGAATTTCCAGTTTTGGAGCTTTTATTCCACCAGGAACAAAACAATTTTGGTAGAGACTCCATTCTTTAGATTTTCACCATAGCACAAAGGAAAGAAAAAGTAATGTTCATGAACTAAGAATGATTGGATATGTTCATTAGAACTTTTATTGAAGTCTTCAAAAGAATCACATATATTATCTAAAACTAAAACAATCTAAAGAAAAAGATTGTTACCTAGATAGTCCTTAAAAATCACAAGGCTTTGGCCCTCCCTGTTGGCGCAGCGGGTTAAAGCACAGCATTGAGAACCTAAAGCCGCTTCCGCATGAGTTCGATTCCCACCTGCCCTGGAGGTGACCACATGGTGTGGCAGACCTCTCCTGACCCGCCAGCTCTCCCCCCCGCAGGGTACTTCATGGATCTGCCTATTCTGTTCCCCACTCTGTCTCTGGTGAAGCCTCTCACCGTCCCTGAGCCTCTGGCCTGTACCCCAGTTCTGTATGCACAAATAAGTAAATCTTTAAGGTTTTTAAAAAAAAAAAAAAACACAAGGTAATGGCTATTAGGTCGACTTACACTATACAACTTTACTAAAAGACTTTTTGCTGCTGAATTTTAGGATTTATAAGTAGTTATGTGATCTTAAGAAAAAATGAATACATTATATTAAACATATTACAGTTTAGATTGATAAATTTCCTGATCACTAGTCAAATTTGTCTTTTACTCAGGAAACCCTAGAGAAATAATTAAAGGATTAAGTATTTTACTCAGTCACCGAACCTGGCTTCTTTTTTGTTTGCATTAGATATTAAAGCAATCATCAATAAAATCAGCCTTGTGACTCAAGTCTAATACATAGGATGTTTATAACTGGGCAAATAATTCAGTCAGCAAGTATAATCTGGGCAGATTATGCTAAACATGCCTGAAGTGTCTTCTGTACAACAACCCTTTGAGGAAGAAGATAAATAAAAGATTATTTAATATTCTAAACCAAGTTTCAACTGTGGCAGACACCCTTGCTACTCCCAGCCTGCATACTTCTAAAGAGTAGTGATTGCTTAGATCCTGTGGCACCCTATAGGATCCCAGCAATACATATGTGACTAAAGAAGTCCTCTGAAGCAGACCTGAACCAGCAGAATCAGGATCATGTTAGAAATCACATTCTCGGGCCCTCCCTGGTGGCGCAATAGGTTAGGACATAGCACTGCAAGCTAGCACAGCTGATTCAGTGCGAGTTCGATTCTCAGCCCTGGAGGTGATTCACATGGGCGAGGCAGACCTCTCCTGATTTGCCCACACTCCCCTCAGTGTACTTCATCGATCTGCCTGTTCTGCTCCCCACTCTGAAATAATAAATCCTTAAAAAAAAGAAAAAGAAATCACATTCTCAAGTCCCACTCCTGGCCTACTCAATCAGAAACTCAGGGGTGGAACCCAACAATCTGTTTTGTCACACCCTCTAGGTGATTCTGATACATGCTCAAGTTTGACAGTCCTTGTCCAAATCAACCACAGCAACTCTGTTCTCTCTGCCAACTGGCTGTGTAACTAATAACTATGTGGCCATGAGCCTGTCAAGAAGTTTCCTGGGAGACTTCCAGAATGCTTTACTTGCTCACATACAGAAGATAAAAGGAAATACACACATCCCACCGATTTTTGATTCAGATAATGTCACATGTTCATATAAAACCCAGAATTATAGCAGCAAAATTCTGGCTGTTAGGTGATAAACCCAAAGATGAAACCAATAAGCTAAGAATACCAGTCAGAAAAACACAAAGAGCAGGCCTGGGTGAGCAACTGACTTAACCCTAGAAACAGACAATTTTCAAACCTGTTAAACACTATACTTTTGTTTAGGCAGGTTAAAGCAGCATTTAATCAATAAATTTCATTAATGAATCAGCTGTAACTCAGTAAATCTAATCTCTGCCTATGTAAAACTATTTTCAGTTAACTTGCAAATTGACAGCTACAAATGAAACTAGATGAATGTGGAAGACGTGGCAGGTATGTACAATATTTTCACCCCCATCCACCAGCTTCTAGATTTTGTAATATGCATTTATTTTAAAGATCAGTTTTAAGATTAAACTGGCATAATTGGTTTGTTTAAGATGGGGCAGGATGAGAAATCTCTAAGAATAACTTATATTTGATGACAGAACATAAAAAACAAAGAGATTACTGACAGCTCAACAGCAGGTGTTCTGTCTACCTATAAAGAAAACAGCAACAAGTCAAGTTCTTTAGTTATCAAGTAGCTGGAAAGGAAGGAAAGTAGCAATTCCACTTCAGATAGTTATCCTAGGCAAAAGTTCACTGGAACAGTCTAACTCAAGGATATTATTCAGTGAAGGACTCTACCTAAAAAAAGAGGACTGGTCAAACCAATTATGCTATAGGTTTGCATTGATACACTTTTAAGGTTATTTAAAATAACAATGATTTTAAGTATTTAATGACACATAAAGATATATCTGCTATCTACTAGTAAGTGCAAAAACAGTCTACTAAGCAATATGAATAGTGTAAGCCCATTTTTGTTTAAAAATGTTGGAATGGGCTGTCCCTGGTGGCCTATTGTCACCACTAAACACTGAGCCTGATTCCCAGCTACATGGCATGGTAGATCTCTCCTGTCTCACCTGCTGCTCCCCTCAGCAGTGTACTTATCAGTCATCCTGTTGTGCTCCCCACTCTGTCTCTGATGAATCCTCTCATCAACCCCTCACACCTTTGGCCCACACTCCAGTTCTCACACACACACACACACACACACACACACACACACATATATACACACACACAAAGGAATATTGTTAGAGACAAGTGTATCTATATTAAACCTATGCATAGAATTCTAGAAGTACTTAAAACCAACTGTGTGAGATCATGAATGCCTTTACATTTTCTGTTTGTGTTTTGCTATAGTCCCAATTTTGTTTTTCTAAGATAAGCACATACTGGTTTTATAATAAAATAAAATGTTCCCAAATTATTTAATAGGCAGAGATACATAAAGTCCTTAGGGATATTCCAGTACAGCATTTACTATAAAAGGAAAAGAAGGTATACTGTAATGGTCATTTGAGAACATTAAAAAGTTGTGTTGTATGGAGCTATTATTGTCTACAGCAGTATTAGATCTAGTAGAATTTCATCTGTAGAAAAACTTACAAGTTCTGAGACCAATAACATGGAAGAATGAGAGACATACTTACGGTTGAGTGAAGTCACGAGTGATGAAATCAGAACTCTTGAACAGTAGGAAGATGTCACTGAGGGTTTTACATTTCAGAGAACTATTCATAGCTATCCAGTAGGCATCCTAAATAACAAAGCATGTTATTTAGTATATATTCCACATTAGGACTACACACACAATCAGTAATGTGTATTATGTCAAGTGAAATATTTCAAAGGAAAGTTAGGTAAGAACTTTTAGTTATGCTATCAAAAGTCAAATTAGACTTTTAAACAACAAATAGCAGTAACACTCCGTATCATTCAGCTATGAATACTAAAAGGTTAGGGCCTCACCTTACAGCTCAGGCATAAGCACTTCCCTATGTTTTTCTTACTGAATGACAGAAGGGTACTAAAAGGCACAGAACACTTCAGGTAGGCGACCAAGGTGCAAAGAAATAAATATGGCCAGCTCTTCTTTATAAAAAAGGAGATCTTTCCTTCTTCCTGTATCTAGGGACTTTCAGCTACAACTCCTGAAGTCTGGTGATTAAAGCAGTTCCCAGCTAGTAAGTCTGGGAAAAAAAGAGGTTAAATATTCTGAAGTAATCATCATTTGAATTGGTGAATATCTCATATTAAAAAAAAAAAGCTACTAGTAGGCACAGAAGGCATAAGGCAAAAGCTTAGTGGAACATGTCTAGAAATGATAAGAGTAAATCATTGAAAATACACACTTCTTAAAGGATAGTAACATAATTGTAAGAAAAATATGAATGCAAAACTATTCAATTATCCATACTACATCAAAGAAAGTAGTGCAAGTGTAGGCACTCAATAAGTAACAAATCGATGAATAACTTAAAACCACACACAATCTACCCTTTGTAATTGGAAAGCCTCAATACAATTCAGAGTAAGGGACAATTAAAATTATTGCTCACATATAAACAAAAATAAGTTTCAATAACTTCTTTATAATAACTCATGCCATAACACTTGCTATTCCCTGCCTGCATCGTTGTAATAGAATCATGATTATCTAGATCACAATTTCATTTCTAATAGTGAAAAGATGATGATGAAATTCTAGTTACAAGTGGTATATGGAACACAGTGATGTAACACTACTGAAACAACAGTATATACATAGAAAACCATTCCACTAAAAAAACCAGGACAATTATTAAATCCAGGGACAACAAAATGTTGACTGGAAGAACCTAAGTAATTGTAGCATAGTACATGTCAGAAGTGTACATAGTGTTTGCATCATTATCATCAGGATAAAAATACTTAACATTGATCTAATCAAAACCCTGGTCCAATCAAAAGGACAAATATTACTATAATGAGAATACTGGAATAGAAAGCAGTGGGGACAGAGATGAGGGGGGCTGAAGCTGCTCTGGAACAGGGCAATGATAAACATCTAAAACTGAAAAATAAAGAAGAGGAAAATAACTAGATGAATCAAAATACTTGGAAGCAGCTGCCTCTGAGGAGTGAGAATGGCAAAGCAAAAGCAAAACAGGTGAGAGCACTTACTGGCATCTGTAACAAGTTCCTAGGTCTTCTGAAAATTTAAATATGTAACTAGTTTTAGTAACTAAAAATAAAAATAAAGTTCAATTTAGGGCTCATTTCAGTAGAAGACATGCACATAGGTTTTGAAAATGCAAATAAGTTCCTGATTCCTTAAATGAGCTTTGCTTACATAAAACTGTTTTTTCTACTGGATAAGAGAAAACAGTGAAATTTTCCACAGACACAAACTTTAAAAAAAACAAAACTTGTTAATTTAATGTTAAAATAATAAAACAGAATTTAAGAAAATAAGTTGATTTCTCAGACTGCTATTTATAGATTCAATGACATTTTACATTTTATTACTTTCCAACAGAGAAAAATTTCTCTGTTAAAAAGAACAGCTGAATTTTTAAAAGGGCAAAGAATGTATTTTCTCAGATGTCTAGCAAAATTAGCAACACAAGAGATTGAAATTGACTTTTGACAAAATATATAGTATTCTGCAGAACTAGGAAAATTTATTGTGCAATCAGGACAATAAAATAATTGAGGAAAATAAAAATAAACTCCACAGCAGTTTTCTTGTGTTAAGAATGTAACTAGATGCTTTGTTGAGTATAACATAAAATGAGTAACAAAACAAATATTAAGATAATGAGAAGCTGAGTGATATGTTCCTACCCTTGGGGCACTCCAGTTAAGCTTAGGAAATACGCTGCCCCCCAGGGTATTGATGGCTTCTTGGACTTTAGTTGTGAACTCAGGAAATTCTGGTGCCTGTATACAGAGAGAAAGAAGAAATCATTCAGGCAAGTCAGTATCAAAAATACTTTATTTAGGGTGTTTAAAGTAACTAAATTCAAGTAATTTAATTAAATTCAAAGTAACTTAGAATACAAATTATTATCAGAATCCCTGAACTCTGGTCAGTAAAATCAATGTTCAGATAACGGTTATCAAAAAGGGAAAAAAATTATATGTGTTCAAGTGGCATTTTCAGAAACAATCAAAATTTAGAAAGCTATAAAAAGGCAGCATTATGTATCCTGGGAGGTGAGGAAGGATGACTGGTTTTTATAGTAACTTTAAAAAACAAGCACAATCAAATAAAGACAGCTGGATATCCTATCATGCATACATATATTCCAATTCTCAGAAATAAACACCTTAAGTTAAAGAAACAGAAGCTTTTCCATTTGCAGAAGACTTCTGGACATTTCCCCAAAAAGCTTCATGAGAATGAAAAATAAATTATATGGTAAACTAAGCAATGCTATTTCCAGGCAAGTTTTAGTATAAACAAAACTCAAAAATAGGACCTTAGTCAAGCAAAAATGTTCTTTCCTTTTTGGTTGACTTTAAAATGCACATTTTATTCAAGTAAAGTGACCAAAACATTCTAAGTGTCTTCAAACAGGAAGAGAACAGCTGCCGTGAGGGAAAGTAAACACTCAGAGTCTCTCAAGTCATTTATGGCCACTCTACCATTATATCTACTGCCCTCTATTGGGTAACTACAAGTTCTGAAAATTCATCAATGGCAACTTCTTCCATAGAGGAAAAAAGTTAGGTCTAGAATCAGCTAAATTATCTGCTGGAAAAATAAACCTCATTACTTATGCTGACCCTCAAAGATCTAACTTTGTATTTCAGAGAGAAAATTGTGACTGGGAAACAGAACAAAAAATGTAAGCTTAAAAAAAAAAGGTACTATCTCCTATCATACTGGAAACCAGCTTTAAGCAATAGGCTAATGAAATAAAAAATGGAGAGATTAAGGGCAGGTTGGATTACCTGTCTTTCTTCCACTGTATCTGATCTCTGAACTGGCTAGAGGTATCTTAGTTATTCGACAACCTCCCATCCTATCTATCCTGTTTGAGTACTTCTCTTAGACTATGAAATTTATTTGAAGTGATTTAGAGAGGCTTTCAAAATAACTAACAGCACTGAGACCTTTATTTTCCATTTGCTTCTCCAAAGGAAATGACATTTACATTAAGCCAATACTACCTTTTAAGTCTCTAGAAGTTGCTGAAATAGCTACCTAGAACTCCATTTATAAGAATACTTACTGAATAGCTGCATTCACAATGTTGTCAATAAGTGACCTAATTATAGATTTTAAAACATGAAGCTTTGTCCAGATAGTCATTTTCCTATACAATAAAGCTTAAGATATTAAGAATGCCTTTATATCTATGCATTTACAACTCTCAAATCATTCAGTTTTAGGAAATGGTGCAGAAGGACCCTAAAATAGATTTAAAGTATAAAAGAGCTCATGCATTGTAGAGGAAATTTTGTGCTATAGTGGAAAACTATGTATTGGCTACATATAGCATACCTTTCTGGATTGTGTGATTCTAGATAGCTCTATGAGTTATGTTACAATTCAGCAAATCATAAGTGAGTCATAACGATGTAAAATACATCTTTATGAACATGAAAATTCTATCTCCTGACACCCAAGAGGAAAGTAAAAACCAGTTTTGCCTCACTTACTCGTTCATTTCAATATTCCTGATCTATAAATATGCTTGTTATTTCAACTCATTTTTGAGCCAGTGATAACAGTTGCTGAAATCCTTAACATGTGTTTAAATCCACATGAGAGACTTGAGTCAGTTTTCTTAAAATTACCATTTAACATATTTAACTAGTAGGATTCCTTTAAGCTCAACTAGTCAGTTTTAAACTCAGTTGTCTTAATCCCTAGTGGCACAAGGGATTAAGCCTCAGCATGATGAAGCCATCCGCAGCCACTGCAGCACAAGTTGGATCCCTGACCAGGGAGCTGACTGACCCACATGGCACAGGACACCTCTCCTGCTCCCCTCAACAATGTATTTCAGTAGATCTGTCTGTTCTGCTCCCCACTCTGTCTCTGGTGAATCCTCTCACCCCCTATACCTCTGGCCTACACTCTATCTCTTGTATGCATAAATAAAACAACCTTCAATTCAGCATACAAGTATATGATCCTGATCTTTAAATTTCTTAAGGAAAAAAAATTACAAATACCAATAAAGGCAACCATCATTATGAAAGGCAGCATACTTTTCTATACTCATGATTTGATACTTATAAATATAAGTATAAATGTAGCATTTTAAACATTTAACACAATTCTGTCATTTGTTAAATGACAACTTGATCTTCAAAATGCACCACTTTGGTTTTGAAATAACCCATTTCAATTATTTTTTCCTGACCACTTTATATTCAGTGTTTGGCACCTACACCAGGGGATTATTACTTTCACCAATACCTTGCATTATGTACTGGCTCATAATCCTCCACTGAAGAGGTTTTCTGACATAAAAGTTTCACTGCCCAACATCTACTTCTACCCAGGGAAACCCAATCACTTTTTAAAATTAACTTTCTATTTTGAAATAATTTCTGAAGTGTTATAAGTAACAAGAACTTCCATATACTTGTTAAGACTTTTTTCCTTTTTACAACATTGTTTTATTATCCTCTCCCCAAGACTCCTCCATATCTATATAGGTATGTATATTTATTTACATTTATACATGTGACATATATTTTTTCCTATACTTTTTTTTTTAAGATTTATTTATTTATTTATACAGAACTGGGGTACAGGCCAGAGGCTCAGGGGCGGTGAGAGGCTTCACCAGAGACAAGAGTGGGGAACAGAACAGGCAGATTGAGGAAGTACACTGCTGAGGGGAGCAGCGGACGGGTCAGGAGAGGTCTGCCACACCATGTGGTCACCTCCGGGGCAGGCGGGAATCGAACTCATGTTCAAGTGGCTTTAGCTTCTCAGTGCTGTGCTTTAACCCGCTGTGCCACCAGGGAGGGCTCCTATACTCTTTTAAATTAGCTTGCTGCTATAATGTCCTTTTTATCCGTAAATAAGTCAATGTGTATTTCCTAAAATGTGGTAGCATTTTTTAATATAATCTAGCAAAATTATCAGTCAGGAAGCTAACACTGATACAACACCATCCATCTTATCAATAGATCTTATGAAAATCTGCCAATTCTTCTAGCCACATCTTTTATCACAAAAGAAAAATAGTTAACAGAAACAAGTCAAAGCATCAAATATGCACTAAGGTGCTCTCCCTGGTGGTACAACAGGTTAAAGCACAGCACTATGAAGCAATCACAGCTACTGCAATACTAGTTCAATCCCCAGCCAGGGAGGTGACCCACATGGGACGGCAGACCTCTCCTGACCCACCTGGTGCTCCCCTCAGCAGTGTACTTCATCTGCATGTTCTGTTTCCCATTCTGTCTCTGGTGAATCCTCTTACCCCCAGCACCTCTGGTATGTACCCCAGTTATGTATGCATAAATAAATAAATCTTAAAAAATAAATGCACTAGGGCCCTCCCTGGTGACGCAGCGGGTTAAAGCACAGCACTAAGAAGCTTAATCCACTTCCTCATGAGTTCGATTCCTGCCTGCTCCGGAGGAGATCCACATGGCATGGCAGACCTCTCCTGACCTGCCCGCTGCCCCCCTCAGCAGTGTACTTCATTAATCTGCCTGTTCTGCTCCCTACTCTGTCTCTGGTGAATCCTCTCACCCTCCGCATCTCTGGCCTGTACCCCAGTTCTGTATAAATAAATAAATCTTTAAATAAATAAATGCACTAAGCACATATTTTATTCAAAAGACAATGTTTGCTATAGATAATAATTCAGATTAGTTTTCAAAGTAATCAATATAGCAACAAAGAAAATTACATTTGAAATGGGGAGTAAAGGAGAATTGAGATAATCAGCATGGAACTCCCGAACAACCTATGCAGGGTAGACATGCAGGTGCTCTCTGCTCTGCTCTTACCGTGAGTGTAGCCGTGTTCTCGTCATCAGACCACTGTGTCGAGAAAGGAAAGAAACAGAACATTACACTTAGAGAATGTACGGGGTTTGTAAAAAAAAAGCAGTGTCCCATCTAAAATGATACTTCAATAACAGACATCTTTTTCTGTCTCTTGACAAATTTAAAGTCAAATAGAGACTTTTATATAATTTGTCACTTTACAAAATGTATGCTGAGATCTAAATATTGAACCATTCCAGATCATTTGAATTAGAAATGCCTACAGAACAGATTATTTTATTAGAATCAACCTGGATTTCTTCTGCCTCATCATCACTGTCTGCCTGAGCATGTGTTGGTGGATCTTCCCTAGAAAAAATAAAGCAAAAATTAATCAGCAAGGGGCTTTGGTACCATGCAGTCATAATTTCATGTGTACTGAGTATGTAAAAATGGTGTTAGAATTGGAAGATAATACTAGGAAGAGGTTTCTTTCTGAGACAGAAACTAATGAAAACCAATATAAATATAATATAAACCAATATAATTAATGACAGTATACTTCTAATAAAAGGTGGCAGCAATAAAACTTTCTGCTACCCTCTACTCAGAAATCACCTCAAACAAGGGAAGAAAAATTCTAACTCCATTCTGGTAACATAAATTACAACTCTGAGTCCCAATATATGGGCAAGTAAAAGACAAGGCAGATCAAGTGGGATCAAGGAAGATATCAAAAAGAACATTCTGAAGAGCTGTTCTACACCCTAAGGGGTAAAACTAAGAATCTTTTCTTTATATAATGACACAGAACACGTGGGCTAATGTCTGAAACTACCTTTGAATTGAGCTGGCATTCAGTGAATCGACATCACAGATCTACACTATTCTATACTGTTGTATAGGAGGGAGGAAGAGAAAGGAAAATGCTGACACTTTCTATGGAGAAGCCAGTGAGCTAACCAGCAGGTGTTGAAAAGGGCTGTCTAGCAGACAAATGCATTACCTACTGGGGAAGTAAAGGCTGAAGAGCTCAGAGAGACTAATTCTGCCCTGCACCAACTCAACGCCCAGTCATGAATAACTGAGGTAAGAAAATGCAATTACATCACTGAAAACAGAAACAAGGATACGACCAGAGCAGATTTAGACTAAGAAACTACAAGAAAAGTGAAAGGGGGGCCAATTTTGGTTGATCACAGGCATTTATCCATTTGTTTCCTCCTGGAAATCTGTTAAAATGACAGCAAAGCATCCAAGGAGAAAGAGAATCAAAAAGACAACTTCAGAAGAAAGATGGTTTGGAACAACAAATGGTTTGGAAAACAAAACGACCAATGAAAAGTAGTAGAACCTGGAGATATCACTGATGATGGGACTGATCTGCTGGGTATGGTCACCATCAGCACCTGGGCATGGAATGAGTAAGCCATTTTGGAACCACCCAGCTGGGTCATCTGTATTACTACACATGAACAATCTTGGCAAAAAAACAAAACGCAACAGAAATCCTCCCCATGTCAAGAATTAAAAAGGCACTTGACATGAACACAGAGGACTCATGGGAAAGCTTTCTCTACTCGTAAAAAAGGGAATAAAGCCAAGTCACACTTATTCTGTTTCTGGAAGTGGTAGTATGAGGACAAAATGCCTGGAACTACTACAGTTAACGTGAATATTGGGAAAGGAACACCAAAAAATTCAGAGAAGCTGGGTCCTCCCTAGTGGCACAACAGGTTAAAGCACAGCACTATGAAGCTATAAAAAAACACTGACACGAGTTCGATCCCTACCCTGGAGGTGACCCACATGGCGCGCAGACCTCTCCTGATCCTCCCGCTGCTTCCCTCAGCAGTGTACTTCGGTTGATCTGCCTGTTCTGCACCTGACTCTCTCTCTGGTGAGTCCTCTCACTGCCCCCTGCACCTCTGGTCTGTAGCCCAGTTCTTGTATGCACAAATAAACAAATCATTTTTTAAAACAATCCAGAGAAGCTGAGTTCTATTATCATTGAACTAATTTTCCCATAACTGCTATGCCTTAGGACTTCTTATTGTATGAAATAATGCTGTTTGTCTCATTATTTAAGTCATTTTAAAAACTGTATCAAAAAAAAAAAAAAGAAAGAAAAAAACTGTGTATCATCCTAGTCCATGCAGGCTGCTATAACACAATAACCATTGACTGGCTTAAGAACAGGGATTCTCATAGTTCTGGAAGCTGAAAGTCCCACAGCAGGGTGCCAGCACATGAAGATCCACTTTCAGGCTTCAGATGGCTACTGGCTTTATGTGTCCTCACATAGGTGAAGGAGTAAGGGACTTCCATGTGGATTCTCCCATTAGGGAACTAACTAATCCCATTCATGAGAGGTCTACCTATGACCCAAGCACCTCCCAAAAGCCTGACCTCCTAATAACACCATCTTTGGGCATTAGGATTTTAACTTATAAATTGTGGGGAGTGGGCACACAAATATTGGGACTACAGCAGGTATTCTATTACTTGCAACCACAATCAACCCAACTGACACATGGAGCAAACAGAGGGACAGTGGGAGGCAGCTAATGAAAATAAATACAAGTTCAAATAGAAAAGAGGCCACATTTATTTCACTGTAGGTGAACAAAAGAAATCATATACAGAGACTTGTTCAGCTTTGGAATTTCTATGTACCAAACAAAGAAAAGCATTCAATTAGGAATTTCACCTTCTGAAATAGATTCTACACTAACATTTAGTCCATATATTGGCACAATGGTTGGTGAAAGCTATTTGACACTACTGGTCAAGAGTATTACAATTTTTTATAACCTTTGTCATATAACTGGAGTCTGGCATTCTTATTACACAAAAAAATAATCCTAAATACAAATAACATTCTATACAAATATATGTTCATCTTAACTTTTAGTTAAGATCCCTTAGTTTCTTGCATATCAAGATTTTCCATACTTCACAGCGTCCCTTAATGCTGTTCCCTCGGACTGGAAGATTCTTCCCTATACCCTTCGAAAGACTGTCTTTGACTCAAACTTCGTATCTCAAAGGCTCAAAAAAAATCACTTCTTCAGGCATTTATAATTAACCCAGTAGTTATGTTAGTAACCTCCCCATTTCCTTCACATCATTTAGAATCTTCACTTATACACTGACTTACATGTTTAATATCGTTTGAGATTAATGATGATGGAGCAGTTAGTATTTAAGTGCATACAATATACTAAGCATTGGAATTAACATTTTTTTTTAAAGATTTATTTATTTATTCATACAGAACTGGGGTACAGGCCAGAGATGCAGAGGGTGAGAGGATTCACCAGGAACAGAGTGGGGAGCAGAACAGGCAGATCATTCGAACACTGCTGAGGGGAGCAGTGGGCGGGTCAGGAGAGGTCTGCCGCGCCATGTGGTCGCCTCCAGGGCAGGCGGGAATCGAACTCATGCGGAAGTAGCTTAAGCTTCTTAGTGCAGTGCTTTAACCCACTGCGCCACCAGGGAGGGCCCGGAATTAACATTTTAATCTAATCTTTTTATCTTTGGAACAAACTATGCACTAATTTTTATATCATGGTTTGCCATGTACAGACAAGGAAATTGAAGCACAGAAAACTAGAAATTAGCTAAAATTTCTATACGATTTGACTCTGGGAATCTAAGAACTAATACTATGCTACAAAATTCCCACAATAAATGATATGAGCTGACAAATCCAAAAGTGCAGGATCCCTGTCTGATCTGTGCATTACTGTGGAGCAGAGAGCTGAACAGCACTGTTTAAGAGGGTATTTGGCAAGTTGCCGGTTTATACCTGGAGTACATGCAAACATATGCTTTGAAAAAAAAAAGAAACTTTCCTCAGTATGCTTATAGAACTGAATTCTGCAAAGTATATTCTAATGTCAGGGATCATTTTCTTTATAGTCACATTATATAAGTTTATTATGTTCTAGATTTGTGAAAAATACAATGATGACTGTAAAGAGCCCAATATTGAGAGGTGTCTAACTATTGTTTACTTATCCTGCAATGATTTTAGGTGAATAAAACTCTGACTTAATAATTTTCAGGTTTTTAAAGGGCAGAGAATACCAAAAACAGAAATACAATCTAGAAAGACAGATCATCTATCAGACAAAAAAATATGTGGTAAATTAGTGTTACTGAAAACATAGGCAATTCTATTTCGGGAATTTGTTCATCCAATTAATGTTATCAAGCACCTCTTACGTATCAGGCATTGTACTAAGAGCCAGGCTGACCAAAACTATTCAAGTCCCTGTCCTCAAGGAACCTGCATACTTACAGAACAACTTACAGAAAGTATGGCAGATGGAAATAAGTGTTAAGCAAAAAAATAAAATAAAGCTCTGGGGATAGTGATGCATCAAAATGGGTTTATACAATGGAACAGGATTCTGCTTTCAAAAAAAGGGAAGAAAATCTTGGAATGCTAATCATGGATGAACCTTTGCTAAATGAAATAAGCCAGTCACAAAAGAATAAGCACTCTGAGATTTCACTATGTGAGGTATCTAGTCAAACTCTTAGGCACAAAAAGCAGAATGGATGTTTCCTGGGATGGGTAGGAAAGGGAAGGAGAGCACAGTTTCAATTTGGTAAAACACAGAGAGTTCCGGGGATAGGTGATGGTGATAATTGTACAATATTATAAATATATTTAGTATCCTTGATTCATACACTCCAAAATAGTTAAATGGTAAATTTTTTATTGCTACAGTAAAAATAATTTTTTAATTCTAAGGAGATACCATCAACCTAGAATTCTACTTTTTAAAAAAAGTACTGTAATGATCATGGTTATTAGTAGTCTACTTTAAAAAAGATGGTGAGGGGTGAACACGGAGATGCATGACTTCTGAACAGAGGCCTGAATGAAAATAGGCATGTTATTCAATTCTCTGTTCATAAACTTTTTCAAGTTTGCACTAAAGAAAGTGTAGCATTGTAATGTCTTTCCTTTACAAATAGAGGAAATGCATGAACAGAGGAGGCGGCCCATGAGGGTTAACAGAAGAACAAAATGATAAGGATTAAATGATAAGCCCTAGTAATATCTCTTTGCAATACACAATGAATGCTTTTTTCTTAAAAAGGAAGGAATCAAAGGATTACAACCCGCCCACTTTCTCTCTACCTGCCCACCCATCTCCAAAAGAGGTAATTATCATCATATCCATTTCCTATGGAAAACGAAGAAAAGAACTGCCCAATTTCACAACTACTATTAAAAAAAAAGCAGTACTCGGCCCTCTCTGGTGGCACAGCGGGTTGAAGCACAGCACTAAGAAGCCAAAGCCACTTTAGCATGAGTTTGATCCCCGCCCACCCCAGAGGTGACCCACATGGCGAGGCAGACCTCTCCTGACCCGCCCGCTGCTCCCCTCAGCAGTGTACTTCGTCGATCTGCCTGTTCTGCTCCCCACTGTGTCTCTGGTGAATCATCTCACCGCCCCTGCACCTCTAGCCTGTACCCCAGTTCTGTATGCATAAATAAATAAATCTTTAAAAAAAAAAGTTCTCAATTTCGAAAATATTGAGCACTGATAAAGAATGTGGGACAAACATAAGGATTGGTGGGAATGGTGCTAAAGATAATGTACTTTATGTGGAGATTAGTGAGATACAATCATTACATTTCTTTATGAAAGTTTGAAGAACTTTTCTTTGATATACTTTACCTTCCTGAAACCACCAGAGTTCCATCATCAAGTAAATAATCCTTCACATTCTGAGGAAGTGGAAGAATGACACTAAAAAAATAAAAGAAAAAAGCACATACCAGAAAAGGCATCATTTAAAAAAATAAAAAAAACACAACATAAGCAAAGACAATAATATTACAATTCTATTAATTTCTGATTTGTCCCTTTTATTTTAATATAAAGTTGGAGCTGTAAATGACATACATTTGGTATGTATGACTAGAAATTAGAATAATATGAATAAATACAGCAGTAAACTAAATTAGGTTTACGCTGATATAATTACAATTGTCTCTGTGGTAAGGTAACAAATCAAAGCCAATAAATTCTAAGAACCAGACTGAAATCACAGTAGGAAAACGCCAAGCTCAAAAGAATTCTAAGCACAAAGATTATGTATCTATAAGAAATTAGAGACCAGGGGATATCTGTAGCAACACAGGAAATGTAGCAAACAAACAGCATTCAAGCCCCTTCTGGGAGAGGGGTTCAAAACAGACTCAGGTCTGAAAACCATTCTTTACTTGGCAATGAGCACATAAAGCTAAGAATTCATTTATTTGGATGTTTTGGTGGTATTCAACTCAATTGATCACAAGATATAAAGCTGCTTAACTGAACATGCTTTAGCTTAATTTGTTTCAGATAACCCTATTAAGGGAGGGCAAGGCCATGAAGTCATTTTAAAATTATAGGAGAACTTGTTCTTTACTATTAATAGTAAATCATTACAAATCCTGCCTCAGGCCCTCCCTGGTGGCACAGCGGGTTAAAGCACAGCACTAAGAAGCTAAAGCCACTTCCGCATGAGTTCCATACCAGCCTGCCTGGGAGGTGACCCACATGGCACAGAGGACAGACCTCTCTTGACCTGCCCGCTGCTCCCTCAGCAGTTTACTTGGTTGATCTGCCTGTTCTGCCCACTCTGTCTCTCGTGAATCCTCTCACCGTCCTGCACCTCTGGCCTGTACCCCAGTTCTGTATGCACAAATAAAGAAATCTTTAAAAAAAAAAATCCCAATTGAGATGGGGGGAAAAAATGTACAAAAAAAAAATCCTGCCTCATATACCTAAAAATAATAATATTTTGATCTTGTAGTGCATCTTTTTAAAAAAGTGTAAAAGATTTTTCTCCCTGCTTTCAGAGTGTCAACAGAACATAATTTCCTTTATTTACTAAATGTGATTTCTGGCTTATTACAAATGGTTTTTGTATACAGAAAAAAAATTATTCATGGGCTATTCCACTTTTAAAAATTACTCTGATCTATCAAAATTATAATTTCACATTCCAAGCTTAGTGCTATATGAGCTTTAAGTGTTAATTCAGAAATGGAAAAAAGTTTTAGCTCTTAAACATAAGTTGAACTAGCAATTCTTACTCTTCTAGTTGTAAATCTGCTAAATTTTAACCAATCCCAAGTGAATCTTCAGATGACAGTGTCCATTTTAAGTGAAAATGACTTTGCCTCAGTGTAACTTTGAACAACTTCATGTGACAAGTAGCATCTTTTGTGTGTTTAGTATATTCCATAAACAATGGCAAGCATTTGAAATGCTCTGTCTTATTTAATTCTCATGACAATCCTATTATTTCCTCAATTTTCCAGATGGGGCTCAGGGAGATTAAGCAATTTGGAAAGGCTGCTTTCCAAGAGTCTAGCAAACCAAAATTCAAAGTCTGGCAGATGGTGCTGGCTCTAGTCTAATTTTTATGCTTTTTTTTTTTTTTCTTTTGTGAAGGCAAAGAAAAACTACCCCAGAGGTTAGAAAAGGTACCAGCAAAGGAACAAAATGTTCAAGAGTGAATTCAGTGTGAAAAAGTTTGACAAGGTCATAAATGCCGTCTATCTCAAATTATACAAGGTAACAAAAGACTGCAAAAATCACAAAGTAAGACGATCCTAAGTTAGGATCCACTGCTGCTGTTGAAGTTCCTCCTGTTTTGGTGCGATTCCAAACACTTTCAAATACAATGATACCTTTCTTTGGGCTGCTCTAACCAACATTTACACCATGGCTAACTTAAAGCAGGCTCTACATTCTAATAACAAGATGGAAAAGAATTCTTTAGACTAATCTGATGTTCTTTCAGCCCCACGGGTTTTCAAAACCACTTTCTTCTCTGTAATCACACTCTGCACCAAGAGGACATAATGAAACGGTGGCGACGGTGGATATATGAATAATGGACAACCTATGTGTAAAGGGGGAGTGGGCAAAATACAGAAAATTAATTAGTGATACACAGTGCTTTGGACTCCTCTCTGAGTGTCCTACTCTTACATCGTGTTGCAGAAGTCATAATTGCTTTTGGACATTTGGGGATAGTCTTGCTTACATTACCTTGAATAACCAGGTGAATTATGAAATAGTTAATCCTCTGTTTGCCCAGCAAAACGGGGATGGATTTCCTATTGTAAGCCAGGGAACTAGAAACGAAGTACTGTTCCACTCATTTTCCTCTCACAGCAAGCACAGTGTCATTCCTAACAATATACAACTAGCGCTATTTACACATCATGCTGGAGCTCTTTGAGGCTGGAAATGTATCCTTTCATAGAGCGGAAAAGCAGTAAGTCACCCGGCAGACTAGTCACTAGCAAAACCCAGACCTTTCAGTTATCCTGATCACCTTCCCTACCAGGCAATAGTAAACGGAGTGAGTGTTCATTTCCAAACAGAAGCTATCTTCATCCATTACTACCCCGCCTCTGAGGGTCACTGAGCCCCCTGGCTGGCACGCAACGAAAAGCACAGCAAAATGGATCGACTTCGTTAACCTCCCTACCTCAAATACCACTAAAAAGTCGAAATCTCTGCACTGATGCTCCCGTCCAGTCGTTACAAGGCCTGCACATTTTTATTTGCTGGAGCTGGGATTCGCGCCACAAGCCGCAGTTGCCCTTTGCCCCTAGGTATGGGTAGCCCCTCCCGTCTGACCTCTTGATGGTTAGGCTCCGGAACAGCGGGTACCACGCGGAGAACTGACAGTGCAGCACTTGCTCTTTCTTCATCCTCCAGCTGCGGCCGCCGCCGCCTCTCCCTCTCCTTCCAACACCTTCCCGGAACCCTGGTCTCCCGTCCCGGAAGTGCCCGCCGAGCTATTTTGCTTCAAGGACTCTTCCGTTCTTTACAGGGGGAAAGTAGCACCAGAGGGAACCGAAGAGGATTATGGGGCGCACTTTTAGAATAAGCACACTGACACACCACGCACGCACACACAGAGGGAGTCCTGCACCCAGGAGAGGGATTCTGGGAGTGCTTAGATTGTAACCAGCGCACAGCTCCGCGTCTGCCGCTAAACGAGGATAACCCGGAAGGTAATGCAAAGCTAAGTCATCGCGGGGGTGAGGGGGTGGAAAGGAGGGGTGTCCTACGGGTGCCGGGAGAGCGCGAGCGCGCCTCTGACCACCTGGAAACGCGGCTGTGTCTGTTGCAGTGGCATCGGCATTTCCTGAGACTGCAGCCTCCGACTGGTCCTTTCTTCCTTCGTCCCCCTTCCCAAAGGAGTACCCTTCCCTTCACCCCACACTTTGGAGTAGGTAACTGCGCGGGCCAGTCACGTACAGGGTCTGGAGAACTGGGAGGGAGCGTATCTGCAGCTGCAGGCAGCCGCGCGTCAGCCTCTGCGAGCTGGACTCGCGTGCTGGGCTGCGAGGGTCGACCGAGCGGAGGCTCGGAAGGAGGGCAGGTTTAGGGGAATGCTGGGAATTGGGGTAGAAGTGCCTGGGTTACTCGGAGCAAGAGAATGCAGGGAAAGCCGCAGTTCAGTGTTCAGTTGACTACCATGGTTGAGGCATCTGCTGGTGGGGAAATGGCCCCATTCCCTTGTGCGGCTGGGTTAAGAGACATAAAGAAGGAACCCCATCTGTAAGGTCCTGGGGAGCTCGACTGTGGAGGTATAAAGAGGAGGTAAATTTTTAGAAAGTAAAGGAAAAGGGAGAGATGTCTTCTTTGAGCTTGGTCAAGTTCACTTCTTCCAGTTCTGCAAAAAATAACAGGCTACTAAAATCACAACCAAATTTTATCAGAATCCATGCCACGTTAGACTCCTAGGCTAGAAGAATTACAGTCGAATTTGTATGATCATTTCTTCCCTAACTCCACCCTCCCCCATCATCCTGCCATCTGTTTTCACTATTCCTTAAGTAATGACGTGTATCAGACGGCTCTTAAAAAAAAGGGGGGGACTAGTAAGATATTACGAAGGTTAACGTTTCTTTACAAGAGAGAGAAATGACTAGGTGCAGAGAAACGCCTTTTATACCTGTTTTTGTTTTGTTTTGTTTTGTTTTGTTTTGTTTTCTTACAAGCTCACATTTAAAGGGCTTACATTTTAGATACCGTCCCTTGCTCTTACTAGTTCACCTAAGCAGTTTTATTTTAGAAAGAGGTTACGATAATTACAAGACCTTCTGCCAGTTTGGAGTTAGAATTTTACATCGCCTCCCCCCCCCCCCATATCTGCCCCCATCTCCACCCCACCCCCTCACCCCCATAGGCATTGTTTCTTGTTTTATTTTCTCTAAAAGTTCCTGGCTGAGTGGTTTATTTGGGGGCATTGCTTTTCAAGATAAAATTTCAGAACAGAGGTAAATAGATTATATCTTTGCAGATTATGTTGGGGGGGTGGAAGATGCCTAATCAGTACTTGTGAAATTCAGGGTATGCAGTCCATTCTGTAGGAGCAATATTGCATATATGTTGAGAATCTTCCAGATCTAAGGACACTACTCATACACAGTGATCCTCAAATGTTTGTTTTAACCTAGAAACAAGACAGTTACAACTGGGATTGTTATCACTGAAGGGATAATTTAGCTTCATTCTGTTGTATATTGGAATTGATAAATATGTAGGTGAAAGTAGAAACTAGAAACAGTAGTTAATTCTGGGAGCAGTAATACAGTAACTGTGTTCAGGAAACTCGAATGTAGAAAAGCTTTAATGAACAGAATTAATTCTTTGTAGCAAGGCAGCTAAGTTTATGAGCTTAATTAAATATAGATAATTACAGGGAAGGAACTTGATAACATATCATCTATTCAAGCTCTACACTTTAGACATGTGTTTGGTTATTTAAGTATTAATCATAGTTGATTATAAATACCTTGTTTCACATTTAACTACATCTAATGTATATTATAAACAAGTGCTGAACTACTTTGAATGGATACAGCTAAATAAGTTTTTCACTTTTTTTAGCCATGTGTTTGTCTTCACTCAGCCTTGGAGTGTTTATATTCATCACATTTCTTCAATAAAACCTTTACAACAATAGAAATAGTGACTTTTTCCTCATGTATCTGGGAAAATATCTAGTAGAGTGATGGAGGGGTGGAGATTATTGTGTAATTTCAAATTAAATGATGAGAAACATTTCCTTCTCTTACTCCATGAATAATTCTTCTAGGTAACTGTTTCCAGCTACCTGTTGATTTTCATAATTTGAGTATCTTGCCAGTATCTCAAACTCCATGTCTGCCAGTTTAAGCACTGCACAATCCCTTTCTCTCCTAGTCTTCACAAGGATAATGAATCAGTTTACTCTTGATCAACCAGAATTGAATGTAATGATTATAAATCATCTAGTAGTGATTATAAATCACCAAGTAACATAATTTCAGTAAAAATTTGTTCCCTCCTTGCCCAACCAACACACATCTGCCTGAAAAGGAAAAAAAAAAAAAACTTTTTATAGCTTTCCATCACTAATAAATTAAGCACAGGAAGTGTCTGTTATCCAAGGATAATTGTCAGCAAAGAAAAATTCACTTTAAAGTGAATCCATTTGGATACAGAAACCAACTTTTATCATAATTGGCACAAAAAAGTAATCAAAATATTATCTTAAAAAAATTTAAGAGGTGTGAACTGTACTCCTAAAACAAAATTTTGTAAACCAGTGTTAGACATAATATTTAAAAACCTAAGAGTTCCTTTTATCACAAAAAATAAAATTTTAAAGCTATATTTATTACAACCAAGACTATTATACCTAACCATAATAACTGATTATGTTCTTATAAATCCAGGTCACTTTTTGGTGTAATATAACAGAATGTAGAGTAGTAGTTTAGATTATGCCTAAGCATTCGATGTTTGACTTTAACGAAACAGTCAAAAACTACAAAAATCAATCTCCCACTTCATTTCTTTCTAAGTGCTTTGTTGATTTCTCTATCCAATTAAAACATTCCAACTAATTGACCCTCTTGTCATTTAGAAACTTCTAATTTGAGCTCATTCATCATTTTTCAGTGGACTGTCGATGTTTACAACACTCAGTTTTTTAGGAGAGACTAGACAACATGTAATTTCTTGTTAAGATTTTTGCTTCACTTTGCAACCTCAGCAAATTGCAGGGATTCTGTTATGGTAATAAATGAATAATGTGTACAATTGGCACAGTCGGCTTTTCAGATCCTGAGATAAACAAGAAACTCCCACTGAATCCAGCTTATTACTAACAGGAAAGTCACAGGTTTATGAAATGAATCACTTCCTGCAGTGGATTAGTGCTAATTCCAATATTAGTTTAAAAAGCAACAGGAGTTTGCTGCCAAAGTTGGGGTCCTTGGTGCCTTTATTTGCATATTTGGGGAAGAAAGGAGGGCCAGGGAAAGCTATGTAGCCATTTGGAAATGTTAACATCCATTCTGTGTAGGATTTTGTGACTTGGGAGGGGGTGAGGAGGAAATGCTTGAGAATCATAGGGCTTGCCAAGCTCCTTTAGTGTCTCAACTCTTCCCCAAGGTAGTATCTGCTTTTTTCCTGTGGTTCCTTCCTTTTGGAATGTTTTCCTGCTTTCTTGATCTCTAAATTTGGTATTGTATTAATACCAAACTGTCGTTTATTTGTGGCCATTTTCCTCATCACTTCCCAATGGATGTGTTGTATTACCTCTTTAGCAGGTTTTTGTTCTTCTGTTTGCAAGTCAATAAATTATAAGGTCTTCCAGGGCAAGCTGGGATCTGTTTTGCATTTAATATACACACAAACATTTGAACTGCCCTTGTTCAAAAAGGCACTTAGAGACTCTTAGCCTGCCACTGTGGAAGAATTCTAAGAATACTATGGTTTTTTTTTTACGCCTCACTAGAGTTTTTGGTGCTCTCAGTAGTCATAAATCTGACAGCTCATAAACATTCAGTGTTCCAACCAAGGTGGATTATGTGAATTGTAATAGAAAACTCAGTATTATTTTTTTTTTAATATAACACACATTAGCAACAAAATGTAGATGACTTTAAGATAAGTGGATACAATTCACATTAAACTTTAACCCTCAAAATCATATTTGGTCAGTGTAGGAAAGCTCTCGCAGAAGTTGAGAAAGTGAAATGTGTGTGTGGAGTGGAAATGTCATTTGTTTGTTTTAGTCTTACCTGTAGTGACTAATCTCTAAGCTCTGTGCCATTTAGCTGCAGTTCCCTGCTTTTGAAGGGTTTAGGTATGCACAGAAATTTTTGGATTGTCAGAGTGTTACTTTTCAAAAGGAGGTAAAAATTTAACAATCCCGGCATTCTGTACTAATCTAGATGATTTTATACACAAAATGGTGCTGCTTAGTTGCCTAAGTTAGTTTCTTTTTACTGTTAGAACGGAATGAGAGCAAAGTTTCCTTCTCTGATGTATGTTATTAATAGAAGGGACAAGAAAGCTACAAGATAAAAATCTAAGTAGATAAAGTTTTGTTATTTGGGTGTATAGCATGCAGGTAGAGACAGGCAGTTAGCTAAGCTTTGGTTAAATCTTTCCTTTAGGGCCAGCATACTTTGATTGTCTACAACAATGTAAACCAGTGCCAGTTAAAACTTAATAAATCATCTTCTGGATACCCAAGTGGCTTACTTCTTTACTACTTAAAGTCTCTGTTCAAATGTCACCAAATTAGGTCTTTCCTGAACATTCCATATAGATTAAAATCTGTCTTTTCCATTCTTCCTACCTTCTTAGTCTTTCTCCTTACAATTTAAGTTACCTGACATAAGTTTTGTATATTGTTCCCTACTTTTTCTCCCTTTCTTTCTACTAGAAAGGCAGGTCTATGAGGGCAGGGCCTTTGCCTGTTCTGTCTGCTACTGTTAGAACAAAGATATTATCTTACTTTCAGCCAGCTGTCATAGGTTACCTAAAATATTCAGTCAGTATTTGATTTTTACAAATATGATAGTCTGTACACACTTCTTTGGGGCTTCAGCATAAAGATAAATCTGCCTTTCATCCTCTTTGAGTGGTTATTTCCTTCTTTGCACTTTTTTTTTTTTTAAGATTTATTTATTTTTGCATACAGAACTGGAGTACAAGCCATAGGTGCAGGAGCAGTAGAGGATTCACCAGAGACAGAGGGGGAGCAGAACAGGCAGATTAACATACAGTCATTTTTTTCTTAACCTTAGATCTCAATTTTTTTTCTCAACCAAAAGTACTTATTGGAAATGGAATTCTTATTTTTGTTCATAAAATATTCATAAGCAACAACGTTGGTAACACTAATAATACCACAGAAGTACATTTAATTTTATAACAGAAATATGAACTAAGAAGCAGGCAAAATATAACCCACAGGTTAAAAAATACAACCAATTTGCTTAGTCCAAAACACTCTCTTTAACTACTGGCTTTCATCTACCACTAGATACTTCAACAACCCATTATCCTGAACATTTGCCTGCTGAGGGTTTTACACTATAAAAGTAGTGAAGGTAATTCTTTAGCCATGAAATTAACCTTTTTAATTGTAACATGATTTTAATTTTAATTTTTAATTGATTCAATGATTTTTAGTGTATTCATGTAGTTGTATCACCACCACCTCTCTTTAATTTCAGAATTCTCATACCATTAATAGTCATTTGCATTCCCTTGCCCTAGTCCCTGGTAACCGTTTACTTTCTTCTGTCTTTATGATTTGCCTATTCTGGATATTTCATATAAAAGGAATTCCTTTTATATCTGACTTCTTTCCCATAGCAGAATGTTTTCAAAATTCATCTATGTTGTAGCATGTACCAGTACTTCACTTCATTCCTTTCCATGACAATAATATTCTATTGCATGGATATGCTACATTCATCAATCAATAGGCATTTAGGTTATTTCCACTTTAAGGTGACTTACGAATAATGCTGCTTTAAACATTTATGTGTGTACCAGCTTGTTTTGAGCATAGGTTTCATTTCTTTTGGGTATATACCGAGGAGTGAAATTACTGTGTCATGGGAACTGTCTAACCTTTTCGTGAAATACCAGATTGTTTTCCAAAGCAACTGCACCATTTTACATGCCTACAGCAGTGCATGGGAGTTCCGCATGTTGCCACATCCTTACCAACACTTGTCCCTGTCTCTTCTGATAATTGTCTGGAGTGTTACCTCACTGGTTTTGACTTGGCTTTTGATGATGTTGAGCAAGAGACCATTACCTAGCCCAAGGTCATGAAGATTTACATGTGTGTTTCCTCTGTTTCATAGCTTTAGCTTTTATACTTTAGGTTTTGGTCTGTTTTGAGCTAATTTTTACATATGGTATCAAGTACAGAATCCATTTTATCTTTATGAAAATTTAGTTAAGCTGTTGAAAAAACTATTCTTCCCCCAGTGAACTGTCTTGGCACTGTTGTTGAAAATCAATTGATCATACATCTGTAGCCTTAATTGTGTACTCCCAATTTTATTCCATGAATATATGATTATCTTTGAACCAGTACCCACATCATTTGGAATCAGAAAGAAAATTTGGAATCAGAAAGTATGAATCTTTTAACTTTGTACCAAGGCAGTTTTGAAATTGAGTTCAACTAACATAAAGACAAGTAGACAGGGAACTATTCTTCAGAACATGTCTAAGCATGCCCTACAGTAACTCTTAAGAACAAATGGCTCTCTAGATTGGTCTAGGGAGTGTGGATTCATTTTATTCTTCATTCATTAGCTTATTTACCAGTAATTTTTATGTTTTCTACAGCATTTCTTTGAGCAGTGTTAAAAATGGAACAGCATTAAAAAAGAAAATTTAGCATCCAGAAGATAGTGTAGGAAGTAATTTCATCCCAAGTGGGAATCACTGTTTTTAACTGTCTTAGCACAAAGTTAAAGTTTTAACTAGAGGGTGGTAGGGCTAGCATACTTTTAAGACAAGGTAGAAGTCTTAGCATTTATAATAAGGTAAGTTATGGCTGATGAAGAAAAAAAAACAAGGGATTACAATTACAGCACTTACATTTCTAGATTAGAGGTGATGGGTAGATCTATGTAATAGAGGGAGAAATTTGCAACAGGCTAAATGAAGCTTTTATAGCAAATCAGCTGTTTTTTCAAGAAGTCTGAAAAAGGCTGGAAGAGAACAAGTTTATGAGAAGGCTGAATGTTTTTGTTTTGTTAGATATGTTTTAGAATGGGGGAAACTTGCTGTTTTAAGTGGAAATTGAAGTTGTGATGAGTAGTTTATCACTTTAAGTCAAGGAAATACAGAGATACTTTTCCCAGTAATATAATTGGTAAGAGTTGATGGAGTTGGTCTGTATTTTCCCTGAAACAAAAGTTCAGACGCCCTGTAGGAAAGAGAACTGTAGAGTATACAGTCCTGAAGTGTTGGACTGAGAAATGGTAGATAAATGTAAAGAACAAGGAAAGTGAAAATAGGAATGGAAAAGATAAGACACAGGATCAATTCCAGAAGTAAAACAGTTAAATGAGAGTTCCTAAAGGAACAGAGTAAGTGGCAGGGAGGAAATTGACAGTGAAATGATTGAAAAAACATCCCTTATTTTAAAAAAACAGCTTTAAGACTGAAAGGACCCACCTGAATACCCACTAAAATAACAGCAACACAGAGACATGAATACTTTACAAATCACATAGGAAAAAAGATCAAGAATCAGAACAGCTGTGATTTTTTTTTTCAACAGCATGATGGCTAAAATTCTGATAAAAATATTCAGTCTATGGATTAAAAAGATGTGGTACATATATACCATATAATGGAATATTACTTAACAATCAAAAAGATAAACACGGCCCTCCCTGGTGGCGCAGCGGGTTAAAGCACTGCACTGAGAAGCTAAAGCCACTTCCGCATGAGTTCGATTCCCGCCTGCCCCGGAGGAGACCACATGGCGTGGCAGACCTCTCCTGACCCGCCCGCTGCTCCCCTCAGCAGTGTACTTCGTTGATCTGCCTGTTCTGCTCCCCACTCTGTCTCTGGTGAAGTCTCTCACTGCCCCTGAGTCTCTGGCCTGTACCCCAGTTCTGTATGTACAAATAAATAAATCTTAAAAAAAAAAAAAAAAAGATAAACACATGCCTTTTGCAGCAACATGGATAGAGCTGGAAAAGATCATGCTTAGTGAAATAAGCCAAAAAGAAAAGGAAAAATACTGGATGGTTTCACTCATAGCAGGAGTATAAAGGACCAAGGGAGGAAATAATAATAATAATAATGAACAGCTATATACCAGAGACATTTTATGGGAATGGAGTGGGGGAATGGGATCAAAAATAGAGTTGGGGGGGGGTGTGCACTGGACTGTGGTGATGGTACATGGGTGATTTGGTGATGGGAAGCCCAAGAGGATTACAACTGAGATGAAAAAGGGCACAAAATGATGTAAAAAAAATAAACTATTACCAAAAAAATCAATCTGTATTTCTGTATTAATAAATGAGGGTGGAAAAGGAGTTTTCAGACAAGGTTCAAAATGAAGGAGTAAAACAAGCCAGAGGAAGTAGAATATACAACACGTGGCACACAGACCTACTCTGCCAAATCAGTTTTGCAGCACTAGATATACGTGGGCCACAATAATGATGGTACTTTGTCACATTATATTAAAAGATAAATCCATTTGGGCCCTCTCTGGTGGCGCAGCGGGTTAAAGCACAGCACTAAGAAACTAAAGCCACTTCCGCATGAGATCCCCACCTGCCCCGGAGGTGACCACATGGTGTGGCAGACTTCTCCTGACCCGCCCACTGCTCCCCTCAGCAGTGTACTTCATCGATCTGCCTGTTCTGCTCCCCACTCTGTCTCTGGTGAAGCCTCTCGCCGCACCTGAGCCTCTGGCCTGTACCCCAGTTCTGTATGCACAAATAAATAAAATCTTTAAAAAAAAAATAAAAGATAAATCCATTTACCATAAGGTAAACTTGAGGCAGAAGCAGCTGTCCATACAACCCTTAAAAAGTGGAGTGTAAGAGAGTAACATGGAACCATAGCAAAGTGGTGGGGATGGGTAGTGGTATACAACCCTACTCTTTCTCCTTGGGAAGACTTCGATCTGAAGTCAGAAAGTCTATTAAGTCTATTAAAGAATGCATTGAAGCACTTGGTGTCCAGTAGGAATTTAATGAACAGGCCCAAATTAATAGGTATGGCTTTGATATTTCCTGTATTTTTTATCCAGGTCTTTGCTATACTTTTCTACCTGGAACAGTTCTCCCAGATCATCTCATAAGAAAAGCAGGTTTGATAGTAATGTTCTTTGTTACTAAAGTATTTCAATCAATGTACACAAACAAATGTTTGACTCAGAAAAATAAATGTAGCTTAAATGAATTTCATTTTCTTACAGCGTGAACTTCTTTTACCTGAGGACTGTAAGGATGAGCTTGAAAATGGAAAACCAAGAACCAACAGATTGTCCTCAGAATGCCAAACAGTCTATTATTTCAGAGGAGGTATAGATTGCTTTTCACTTCCTCTCCCCTCGCCTTCCTTCCCCCATATAAAGTTGAGTGTAAAAAATATACATAGGTTATTTGTTGTTTTAAATGATTGTTTTTAATTCATGAAGAGAGTTTTAAAATTCCTACTTCATTTATACTGTCTGAGGACTGCAGTATTTCCCTCTTAGTGTACATATTAGTGAAATTGAAACTTTTTAAAATGGATTTTGAAGTGGTTTATTAGAAGATTTCCTGGGTAGAAGAGTAAATCAGACGTGAGTTTGGGTGGGAATTTGACATTTTATACTTAGGTATCACATTTTGATTTAGCTATTTATGATCTCAACATGTATGTTTAAAAGCAACAGAAACCTAAATTCCTAATTGTAGTCTAAATCCAGAACTAATTTCTATCTTGCATGTTACTTCATTTAGTTTTTAAAAAGTCTCTTCCTGGAGGAAATATTGAAGTTGAATAATTTTAAATCCTTTACCTTGGAATCTGATTCCTTTCTGGAATTCTTTTTGAATTAAAACTCTTTACATGTCTCTGAACAGATCTGCTAATAATTGTTAGGTTGCTGCTGGCTAGAAATGAAAAATATAGGATAGTAAGAAAAAAGACTACTGCTTTATGTACACAGTGCAGTTTACCTTTCTGTTCAGAACAGTGCTATAGCTGAGTCCTTATAACCTAACGACCTCAGTGTTAAGGTGGACAGATTGGGTGCGAAACCCCTGTGTCATGGGAATAGAATCATTAGACATGGTTTCCCCAATTAGCTTTCCTGTGTCATCCCTGACAGTAGTATGTCCTGATGAGTATTTGCTTAACTAACTACACTCACAGCTGTAAACCCCAGATCTGTGGCCAGAACATTCAAGCGCCCAGAGTACACTCCCCTCTTTGTGAACTCTTCCAGTTGCAATAGTCCTCCCTTCCCGGGCCTTCAGCAGGAGTTTCACACTATCATTTCTTTCCACCTCTTAGTACCACCTCCAAAGCTGCAGAACGAAACAGAACTACTCTTCAGAAAAACATCTTTTAATACTTTGAATTGAAAACTTGAACATGAATTATTGAGAGGGAAACTTGGTAATTGGGAGAGCCACATAGAAAACATTTGAAATAAAAATAAGACTAATAAAATATGACTTGGTAGGAATGTTTCCCATCTTATTTCTGATCTTCTTTTAGTTAATTTCAGAAGGAAAATGGGTCAGGCTTGAAAAGACAACATACACGGATCCTACTGGTAAAACTAGGTAAACTTTTTTTCCCTTTTGATAAGTGCTCGGTATCTGGGTTCATGCTAGGATGTCTGGAGCTTGTACAGCTTCTGAATGAAATTGTGTTTTTAATTTGTTACAGTAACTGGTGAGGATTCTATTCTAATATTTCTCCCAAAGTTCAAGAGGTTAGTGTGGACCTCAGACTTGGGTAAGAGAGAGAAAGCAGCAGAAAAATTAACAGTATAGATTACATCCTTGTAATTAAACCAAGTTTTAATGTCTAAATTAAAAGAATGAAAGAGAATATTGTTGAGTTTGAGGTAAAATTTACACCTTCTTTATGGAAATGTAAAATGGGGGGAGAGGGAAGTTTGGTAAAACATTTCACGGTGTGTACAAGTAGCCATAAAGATGTCATCCCTTTAACCTAGTAACCTTACTTCTGAGACTGCTAACAAAAGACTGAAATTGAATATAGAAATATTCAATGCCTGTGCTTTGGAGAACACAGGATGTCCAGATGTACTTATTTTTATGAACACCTAGGCAGAGATTTAGACCCTGATTTCAGAGTGAGATAATTTTGTTCTCTTTCCCCTAAGAAGTAATTAAAAGTTTGCAACACAGAAATATAACCTTCAGTGCTAATTAGTCTACAGTATGTGTTGATTCATGCCAGCTCCTCTCTCCACCAGATTCCTTTTCTCCCTTACAGTATTTTAATCAAGGATGTATATCTGAATTATTTGGGGACTTTTTTTTTTCTTCCAAAATTCTCATGTCTGAGTTTCACCTCCAGAACACATCCTTCAGGTGTGGAAGTGGGCAGTTCTCTGTCCGCCTGTGACTACAGACGCCTCTTTTCCTTCTCCCTTTCCTAATAAGGCCATCCTTTGAAAATGTAAATAAAACCGCTACCAAACTACCATGTACGTATGGCCTACTTATAGCATGTTCACCTTCATTCTTATATATATAGGTCTTCCTCATGGCCTCTAAGGAGATTGTATGTGAAACATCTTCATTTCATACAAAAATGTCAGGCTCTGTGCTGAACAAATCTGTGCTTTTCTGTAGGTCATGAGTTATAAATTTCTAAAATGTTTGATCTGTAACCTGATATAAAAGTATATATAGAAGGATAAAATAGCAGCTGGGAATGCTTTGCTCCACTGTTGTGTTCATGAAGAGGATAAGGAATAAGCTCCTTATTCTTGTAAAAATATGCTGGTCATACACCTTTTAACCAATGTTTAGCATAGAACCGAAGTCACCTTTAGTCATCCTTCTTCTTGTGTTGGCTGACTAAAGAAAGTAAAATAGACTTTTGTTTAACAAAGGGAACTAAAAAATGGGGAAATTTTTGGAATCAAAATTCCAAAGCCACAAGAGCCTTTCAAGTTAATATAGTGTTAGTTCCTTAGTTTTACAAGTAAGAAAGCAGTCTCCAGGAGGTGTGGCTATGGGTTTCCATAGTAGCTAAATAGAAACTAAGGTTTTCTGCCTCAGTCAAATGCACATTTCTTAGGGTCCTTTTAAGATGAGTGGAGCTCCTATGAGGTGTTCTTGTTAGTATTTCCTACAAATGCATTGATACTTTATTGCTTATAGTTTATGGCTCATTACTGCTTATTTACTTCACCTTAAACGCTATAATGATGCTGCTCTTTTTGTTTCCCTTATTCCTAGTGTATTTGGGATGGGACCTTCAGTGTTTTTCCCAGCACTGTCTTCTTCAGTCTTTAGGACTAACCTTAAGAGGCAGCAGTGAGAGCTGCATCAAAAGGTGTTTTGTCTCTTGCAATCTGTATTATTTACTTATCAGAATTGCTTAATGGTTGGCTTCTTGCTACTAACAAGAATGCTGGGCAACTGAGTTGTCCTAGTAGTCTGATTTTCATAGGTTGATTTTGACATACTTGCCCTCCAGAATTTAGGTATTATACTGAAATATCTACAGTTCACAGTCTTTTAATCGAAATGTACAATTTCTTTTAAAAGTCGAAATGTGCCAGTGTTCAAACCTAAGGACGCACTGATTAAAAGTATGAGAGTTCCTCCTAGTGCATCTAGTACATTTCCTACAGGGAGACAGCATCTGTCACGTGTTTATCCCGCTCCCTGCAGCCAGCCACTCAGGTATCTTTTAGAAGAGATCTGTTCCTCCCTCTCAGCTTCTAGCACTGCTTTTTGTTCTTATATTTAAAGGATGAGAGTGAAGGGGAAATATCCCCTCAGAAGCCTTCCTGCTTTAAACAACATGTATCTCTAATAACTGGATATTCAGTTTAGTGTTCCCCTAAACAGATAGTAAAGCAGGAGCCATCAAAGGGAGCCAGAAGCTGCCATTGTTCAACTCTCTCTTCATGTAGGGACCATTTTCTTCTGCACTGAGAACTCACACATGCAAAACAGAGTGAACACATGCACTTACCTAAATTAAATAAATAATCCCTCAATTAGCAAATTGGAACATCTTGCTTTTTTAAATTATGGTTTAATGATACATCAATTAATAATAGGTGTTTTAGGTCATGGACTTAAATATCTAAATTGTACAAGTATCTCAAAGTTCACTTTGCAAGTATCTGTTTGTTCCTAGAGATAAGGCTCTGATTTTCATAGGGGCTTAATTTGCATAGCCTGCTTAGTGCTTTTAAAGCTGCAATCACCAGCTGTGCTGCTGGCCCGTAGCTTGATGATCCAAACTGAAGCAGGTGATTTGAAGGGTGTGGCTAACAAGATCAGCAGTCCTTCTCTCTACACACACCCAGTGGGTTTAATACTGGGCAGCAAGGATTTTCTTTGGTAATTTTCAGAAGCTATGGGAAAGCACAGTTGGCTTTTTTATACAAATGTTTTTGTGGTGGTCTTCTTGACAGTTGTCATTAGTACATTTGCATGCTTTGCATCTGTAAAAGTTTTGTTTGTACATAGAAAACCTAAAGCATTCTCCTCTTCTCTAATTTTATTTTTTCTCTGCCTGAACAGAACTTGGGAAACTGTGAAACGTACAACCAGGAAAGGAGAGTCAGCTGATGGTATGAATGCAAACCCGGCTACAGTTAGTAAAGGAAGCTTCCCCTGGGAAGAGGCTAAGTGTAGGAGGTTGTTTTACTGTGACCAAGGCCAAAGAGCAGTTACCTTCATTAATCATCTTTTAATCTAGACCTTGTTTTTTGTTTGGGGTTTTTTCCTTTGGTTTCCATTTTTATTTATTTTTTTGGCAAATTACGTAACAAAGTCAAGCTTTCTTTATAAATAACTTCTAGCTCCTGTATTGCTTTTTGAGGGGATGATGATGTACTAATATTTATAGCTGAATACAATTCAGTATAATTTGAAGTTACATGCTGTATATATGTTCTATTTCTAGAAATCAGTTATATTCTGTTCAAAGGATCTAGATGCAAGCCTTTAGTTTGGGAATATGAATTGACACAACTTTGTGTTTATTGACCACTTGCTTTATAAGTTGATGAGGAAATGGAATTAGGAAAAGACTATTCATTCAGTTCACTTTCCCTTCCAGGCATGAATGCTTTGGCTGCAAACATCCCAGAAACAATCCTGAAAATCACCTCTGGTCTAGGGGAAGTTGGGCAATAGGTCTTTCTTGTTTTTTTCCCTTTTTCAATTTTGTTCTGTTTTCTGTTTTTACCGGAAGCAAACAGTAGCTGCCACACTTGCTGTTTCTTCCTCCTGGGAAAGAGTCTGGGGGGAGCTACTGCCCCCCCTGGGTGGTTGGTATCTTCTTAGATCCAGTGGGATTTTTGGTTTTAAGACCATGTAAATTGGGAGAAATGGTCTTTTATCCTAAAATAATACAGTTCAATTTAGCCAGCATATACTTCAAACAGTAGTGCTTACTTGACTTTTTGCTCAGAGAAAATCCAAGGATATGTAGGTTAGTGTAACTTCACCAATGGCCTTGTTGCTGCAGGGTGAGAATGGGTCTCCGGAGACAAAGTTTGTCCTTGACCCTTTGTTAGATATTTAGTTTTCATTTTTATTTTAAAGAGACTCTGACAACAAAAATCAACCTCTATAAAAGAAAAATTAAACATGGAAGTGTCAGTACTTTTTCTTTAATTATACTTTAAAATGAGATTAACTGCCAAAGTTAACTGCTAATATTGTGGCTTAAACTTCCTATTGTGAATAACAAATATAAGGTACATTTTCAGATGCAGTGTTTCTTAAAATGTAGGCTTTTAGTTTGTTTTGCTCTAAAAGGGTTGGCATTAGAGACCTTCATTAGGGATTTCCTTGGTTTTATTTCCTGGTGACAGGTGTGTCAATCATCCCAGTGCTGCAAAGAACTCTTCATTATGAGTGTATCATTCTGGTAAAACAGTTCAGACCGCCGATGGGAGCCTACTGCTTAGAATTCCCAGCAGGTGAGTAACTAAACACAGAAACTATAATTGCTCCTCAGGTATCTGAACTGAGCTGGGACAGAGCTGAGAATGGCCATTGCCTTGATATTAACACCTTTTGTCCATCTATGTGGTTTTAAGAAAAATAAAACCATTTCTATGGTAAGAAGCCCAAGGCCACTAGTCCTATTCTGTCAACCCACTAATACCATGGAGGTTGACTCCAGGCATAGTATCCCAGCTTACTTGCCAAGCCAACTGCTCACCTCTTTCTCTAGCCTCCTCTTTGAGCAGTTGTTTTTCATGTTTCATTTTCTATCACTAACCATGACAAGAAGTGTACAATAATAACTTGGCTGGACTCATACCTCCAAAAACTATAGTGAAAAAGGCATCTTCATCTTCCCATATGTGTTCAGACCAGGGAAACTATATTAATTTCTTAACTAGTTTTTTTCTGTTGTATAATAAGCAAAGCTATCTAGAGTTTAATGCTCTGCATAACTTGGTTATTCCATCAGAAGAAATTAAGCCTCATGAATGATTTGTTTTGTACTTTTTAAAGTTCATACAATAGTAATGTGTAGTTAGTAAACTTACTCACCACTGAAGAAATGAATAAAAGTATATCTGACTAGCATGTATTTCCCTTTTTCTTTGTGTATTTTTATTTCAGAGGGAAAACTGAGTCACTCCAGCCTCCTCCCATCTGACTATCCTACTTATTCCTCACAGTGACTACAGTAGTTTTAAATTCACTAGCATTCACTGCTTTTCTCAGAGATGACATTCAGCTGGCATTTCACTACAGAGCCTGAATGTGGTTCTGTGAGGAAGTACAGTGTCACCACGTTATGAAACAGAAACAGGGTTCCTGTGCTGCTCACATAGCGCAGTCCCAGCCTCGGCCAGCGAGCCACCAGCCAGCCCTGCTCCTCACAGGACGAGTGCGTCCACACTGCGTGTCAGAGCTGAGACACTGATTAAAACAATCCAGATCTAGATAAGGAGGACAGACGACAGCTACTAAATCTACCTAGGGCTTTATTTTTCCTTTCTTTTTGTTTTCTATAAAAGTTCCAAACCTCATTCCATTATATCTGTACAACAACCAATTTTCACTGTCCACTGATTATTCTCAAGTAGCTTAGCAGAAAATATATTAGAAGAGGGTCAGAGAAAGTGGTTTTCCTATATTACCTCACAAATGATTTGGACTTTCAGGTCTCATAGACAGTGATGAAAGCCCAGAAGCAGCTGCTCTTCGGGAACTTGAGGAAGAAACGGGCTATAAAGGTGATATTGCTGAATGTTCTCCAGGTTTGTATTGCTATACAGTGGTGCACTTGGGGACAAAATCTTGAAATCTAGGTTAGCAGTAGGTTATTCTAGCTATAAAAGGATAAATTCTTTGGGTATTCTTTCTGTTCATGATTTATATGGTTCTTCTTCTGGCCTATTCACTAAAGAAAAATCAGACATTAGGATTGGTTCTAAGTGAACTGCTCCCCTTGTGAAAGCAAATTTGAGCAAGGACTAAAGTTGGAAGAATTATCAAATTGTTTCTCATACTTTACATTTTTCTAGGCTTTATTCATTCTTCCTCCAGCCAACTGCTGCACTGGAATTTGTTTTATTTAAAGAGGGTGTATTCATTTCAGAGATTTGTTAAATAGCCTTCTTCCTTCAAGACCAAAATGGCTGTGTTCCTGATGACACTGCTTTTCTGTCTCTACATGCTACTCTTTAGCTTGACTTTCCAAGAGACTCAAGAGTAGCAGAGCCAGCACCTAAGTGCCACAGCTATAAAGTCTAGTTTTGTTTCTTTTTGGAGGTGCTGACGGGCTCAGTTTTGTTTGCTGCTCTATTTTTAGTAGTAGCCATATTTACAGTATATGGCTAAGTCAACGTAGGAAGCTTTAGGAACCATCCCCTTTTCAAAAGCACTGATAAGTGCTTAGAAGCTCTGGCAACTTGCTCATGCTGGCACTCCAGGCAGTTATTTTTTTTTTTCTTGTTGTGAAAGGACTTTATAGCTTATCAGTACTATCTAATCTCTCAGGCTTAGTTAACTTCACCCAAAAACCTTGGGGAAAATGTTAGTATTGACTGCACCTGTTCTACAGTCGTACAGCATGTACAAACAGGAGAAACTAGATTCCCGGCATAAATTCTGTATTAACTAATTCATGAGCTATCTTCCTTCAGAGACATTTAAGTGATGAAACAGGTATTTGACTAGTGTCTGTTAAGATGATCTGTTGCTTCTCTCCACAGCCGTGTGTATGGATCCAGGTTTGTCAAACTGTACCACACACATTGTGACAGTAACTATTAATGGAGATGATCCTGAAAATGTCAGACCTAAGCCCAAACCAGGTAAGTGTGCATTGGTAACATTTAAGGTGGCTAAATTGCATTCCGTATCTTTGAGTTTGTATTAGTTTGTTTTTTCTTTTGGCACTAGTTTGATTTTTAATAAAGGAATAAGAGCCTTTCCTCTTTCATAGATGCTTGATCAGTGTTCTTGCCTATTTTCCTAATCTTGTGTACTTCAGCAATACCTACCACCTCACTGAATTTTATGCTTTATATAAAATGTTAAATTATACATTTCCATATCTTCTGTATGGAGATTATCCAATCACTTAGGAGCTACACCTCACTAGTAAATTATAAAAATCTTCAAAATCATTCTAACAATGATGTGATTGTGATAGGACAGCAGCTTATTAACTCTTCTATTGAGTTCCAAATGTGGAGAAGATTTTAGGATATTTGTAGTATTTCTTAGTAGGCTTGGAGTCAGAAACTTTTATGCCTCTGTCAATTCCATATCTTTTCCCATTCCTTAGGGGGTGATGTTGACACCTGCACCACAGTGAATCAGTTATCAGAGCGATAGTCTTCCATTTTTTATCACCTTTACTTTGTAATTTTTTTACCCATTGCAGCCAACTTAAAACACTCAGTTTCTAAGAAAGCAAATGTAAACATTATATATACACTGAAATCAGTTTTTCAGTTCCTCAAAAAGTTAAACATGTTGAATTACCATATGATTCAACAATTCTACTCCTAAGTATATGTCCAAAGAACTGAAAGCAGGGGCTGAAACAGATACGAGTTTTTTTAAGGGGTACCTGTTTCTGTTTGGGATGAAGTTCTGGAGATGGACAGTAGTAAAGGCTGTGCAACACTGTTTGTGTGCTTAACGCTGTTGAATTGTACTTTTTAAAATGGTACAGTTTATGTTCTATACATTTTAACACAGTTTAAGATATAAACATTACAGAATAATCTTTAAAATTTTCTACTGAAAATTTCTCCATTTGATTTGGAGAACAGTTATAATTCTGCACCATTTGGAATCTTTTTTTACAATCCATATAAATTAAGAGTTGGGCTTTTGTTAAAATTCATGGAACTTTTTTTGATATGTCTTGCACTAAAGTCTGAGTGTTTAACCACCCCAGGTCTTGCTAAAACATTCTCTCCGTTCATTTTCAGGAGATGGAGGTATGTTACTCTGCCCCCCAGTGGTGATGACATGCATGGCCGTGTAGTGGTGAAGGCTACAGGCATTTTAGGTTGTTGTAGACTCTGGTTCTTTAGTTTTGTTTTCACTTGTACTTTGTTTGTTTAGAATTTGTAGAAGTAATTTCTTTACCAAAGAATGGCCTCCTGCAGAGACTTAGTGGTAAGTATACTTAAATTCTTTATCCAACTTTATTTTCCCCATCCCCAGTAAATGGAGTATTGAATCTATTTCTTTATATTATCCCTCATTAAAATGAAATAACTAGGAACTGTTGTACAACTTCAGTTGATGAGTAGTAATTTCCCTTTCTGGGTGTGAGAGTTAGAAAATATGAGCAAGTATTCTAAGTGAAAACTTTCAATGGAGACTATATATATGTGTGTGTGTGTGTGTGTATAGCATAATCAGGATTAGATTCCTGATGACTAGCCAAAACTATTTTATACTTTCTAATTTTTTAATCCAGAGGAATCAAAGATATAAGTATCTATAAGTATCTATCTAAGATACAAGTATCTAGTTGAATCCTCAAATATACTTGTATATCAAATAGTTACTTGTATAGGTTATAAGTTAAATGAGAATTTGATAATATTCCCTTCAGATATTGAGGTATCTGCTATACACTAAGTGCAATATACTAATAAAATAAATAAAACTAATTTGCATTGTTACCATTAATAAATTATGTGGGCATAGGGATTTTAGAAAAAGTAACATTGTGCAATCATCTTTTAATGTACTTGAATATCATACATGTCCATACACATACAGAGAGATAGGTAGGTAAATAGTATCCTTTGATACAAGTACATTACAAGATACTGTACTAAAGGAATGACCCAGGCATTTCCAGGAGCTCCTCTGTGCCACCTAAGTAGGTTTCTGCTCGCTCATTTATAAAGAGTAGATTAGCTTCTTAATTTGAATATTTTTAATTTTGTATTCCAAAATTAATTTGAAGCATTGTTTGACCTGAAATTTTGAGCAGTTTCTTCCTTCCATTAGTACAATGGCTTACAATTTTATTTCTAATGTTTTTCTTGAAAAGTAAAGGGACTTCCCCAAAACTACTGATTTCAGATTCTTAGACATCCTCCATACATGAAAACCATACATAAAAACCACCTCAAGGTCTCAAAGTCAGAGTTAGAAATACCAGTACTGGAGAGATACAACCATTTATTAGGCATTTACTCGGAGAACACTTGGCTATTATTAGGCTGCACAACTTAGTCTGGCAGTCCTGACAGGTTTGGGGCTCAGCCAACCATGTATTAATTATAACTTTGAACAACTTCCATGGCCTCTTAAGTTTTTCTTATAAAAAGAAATACTGACAGATTGACTCTGTCTCTAAGGAGCCATGAGTACATTTAAATATGGTTATGTTGGCACACAGGTGCTTACACAGTATACACTATTATATCTTTATAACAGAAAAATTGCCTTTAAAAAAAAAAAGCCTTCCTTCTCCCTTCCATGTAACGTTCCTTCTGACCTTAGAAGAAGAGGAAAACACAGCAAGAGTGAGTGGGAGGAAGGAAGATAGAATTTTATATGAAAAAGAGGGAGAGATTAAAGAATCAATTTTACTAGATTTCTAGATGCAAAATAATCAAGTCATTTATTCAACAAGTAACACTGAGGAATTGGAAATAACATCAGTTTAGTTGACGAGGAATGACTTCTAACTTACCAAGCATAGGTGAGTAGGACATCACCTGCCTTCAAGGGTCACAATGTCTCTGCACTTGCTGCCCAACGAGCAGCAAGGAAAGGAGAGTCTGACAACCTCATCAAAGTGAAACAGAAGGTCTCACGAGAGCCTGCTGTAATAAGATTTCAGAGATCTCATTCTTGGTGGTAGAATTCCAGTCCTGTCATGAACAGGGGTGAACTTAACATTGGAAAATATGTATGTTCTAGCAGTGGGAAAGACACCACGAATCCCTAAGTAAGACAAGAATAATCATCACAGTGTTATTTCAGATTCACAAAGCCCTGTAGTGAGCTACAAACAATATAATAAGGGTATCTATACACTTAAGAGGCTTTTCAGTTTTAACACATGAAATCAGTTTTCTGATAAATGGGATTTGTGATTATTTTTTGTTTTTATCTCATCCTGGAAATGTACTCCTGCTTTTATGCCATGCGTATTACACCTGAGCGAGTGCCTTGAATGCAACCGCTACCATAGGAGCTGGCACACAGTAGTTGCTCAGTAAATAGCACTTGAACAAAAAGTGATGGCCTTTTCTGACTTCATTATCTGACTTGGATTCTTTGCTTCCTAGCTCTGGTGACCGAAGAGCACCTGACAGTGGATGCCAGAGTCTATTCCTATGCCCTAGCGCTACAGCATGCAAACACGAAGCCATTTGAAGTACCCTTTCTTAAATTTTAAGGACAGTAGCCATATGTTTTGTAAACAAGACACCATTCCTCCACTAAGACTTTGTATTCAACTTAGTTTAATGCAGATTTGAAATTAGCTTTTTCATAAAATAAAATACAAAAATACTTGTGGTAGTTGGAATTATAATTATAGATAGGCTAAGCTATTATTTAAATTCTAGCTAATACTATTGAAAAACCACATAAATGCAGACACATTTAATCTAGTTTTTTTTTGTTTTTTTTTATGATCAGCTGTTATCTTTCTAATCTAGTATGAAAAAAGGACCTTCTATAAAAAAACAGACCTAAGTGCCCAATAAGGTAAACCATTCCCACCTTCAACCTCAAATTTACACTTCTGAAATTGACTATGCAAGTATTAATAACTACTCACTGCATTAGTGTTTAAAATAGTTTATCCCATCTTAGAAGCCTGAACCCTCGTAAGTGAATTATCTGTTACATGAAATTAATCTGTATGGCAGAGTACATAAGATCAATGTCTGATGAGCAGTGTTCACACTTAGCTAACACCCTTTTATCTGCCGACTTACTGAAACTGAGCCAGCTTAGATTCTGTTCATACAGCATAGTTACGAGGCCAGTGAAAATACTGTACTTATCCTTAACTCAAAGTATTTGAAGCTTCCAAAAACCAAGTAGCAATAAGATATACATGGTTTGGGGCATAACAGTCTTAAGGGTAAACTGAATGTAGCCATAAGGTCAGCAAGTACTGTAAGCCCAGGAAAAAATGGGGCTGTTTCTACTCATGCCCTGGCTGACGCCCTTGTCATCCAAGACTTGTCACTGACCAAGGGATCATGCAACTCCTAGGGTGTCGCTTTCTCAGTTCAGTGTGCTCTCCTCTACCTCCAAGCCCCAAGTCTCAAAACAATTCTCACTGGTCATGTTTTCAGCAGGGGCTCACCAGTCCCTCAGAACCAGATAAACCAGGGTACTGGTGCCACAGATGCTGCAATATAGTTCATTTATCCACAAGATCATTTTGTTTTCCATAGTTATCTTTTTGAGCAAAAGTGCAAGATCTTTATACTAGGTTTCTTAAACAACGATGCAAAGAAATGTGGAGAGAACTTTATAGCAAAGTCCACTCCCCCTAGAAATACTGAGAAAATTAAGCTCCATCTATGTACTATCAGGGTAATCTTCTCTGTGCCTCTAGTAATTTTATTAAATCCTTATTTTTTATCAGGAGCATCATAATTTTCTAGAAATCGTCATCCTTTTCCAAGCTCTCAAGGACCGAGTCCTGTAATTTTCCTTGTTGCTACCCTCTCTCAAAGTCAAGAAGAGATTGGCATGTATAAAATACATACTCAATAGTTCCAAACAGATGAGCTCTTTCAATGACTCCCCCAGGAAATGGAGTAACATTCTTAAATGTTGCCCTTCTGCCTTTTTCTCTTCCTAAGAGGGCAATTTGGAAGTGACAGCTAAATTGCAGAACATATACTGATTGCTATTTGTTCTCTATAAATTTGTTTCCTGCACTTAACTAAGTACATACATAATAATGGAAACCACAGTTCTAAAAACAATGTGTTTTAAAATGTTTGACCTCATCTTGGACAATAAAGCATATATTTTAAAAAGTAAATCATTTAGGGCCCTCCCTGGTGGCGCAGCGGGCTAAAGCACTGCACTAAGAAGCTTAAGGCTACCTCCGCATGAGTTCGATCCCCGCCTGCCCCGGAGGAGATCCACATGGCGTGGCAGAACTCTCCTGACCTGCCCGCTGCTCCCCTCAGCAGTGCACTTCGTCGATCTGCCTATTCTGCTCCCCACTCTGTTTTTGATGAACCCTCTCACCCTCTGCATCTCTGACCTGTACCCCGCTCTGTATAAATAAATAAATCTTTTTTAAAAAAAAAAGTAAATCATTTATAAAGAAGTATTTCAAAGGGAGGCTGTATATTGTTCTTGTCTGATATGCTTTTTTCTTCCAACAGTTGCTCACATAACCATGTACCCTTCAGTGTCCCTCAAATATTTTAGGATTAAACTTACTACATTTAGAGCCTCCCTGGTAGAACAAGGGGTTAAGTCTCAGCACTATGAAGTTACCTGAGTGGTGTGTTTGATCTCCCGCCAGGAAGATAACCCACAAGGCAGAGCAGCCCTCCTGTCCAGCCCACTGCTCCCCTCCACCATGTATTTAAGTAGATCTGCTGGTTCTGCTTCCCCTCTTTCTCTGGTGAATCCTATCACCCCCTCCCCCCGCCCCACACCTCTGACCTGTACCCCAGTTCTATGTAAAAATAAATAAAAGCTTAAAAAAAACCTGTTACTACATTTGACCTTTGCAGTAGGCACCTCAGGATGGACTTTATAGGAACACAATGATCTTACACAAATATCTTAGAAATCACTTAATGTCAGATTTTTTCCAACACAACTCAAAAGGTTTTAAATAAAAGTTTATTGTCTACTGTTTACACGCATGTTGCTGCTGTAAAGTACAACAACGTACACAAATTCCTAGCATGAATAACTCTTTGTTCACTCCCACTGAACTACAAATACTGCTTGAGAATTAAGATCTCTGCTTCCAGGATTAAAAAAAAAGAACTGGGGCATATCTTGAATGCTATCTCAGATGACCTGCTGGAATTCAAAAGCAGAGCCAATACAGTCAAACAGCACTGACTGCTGTCACTGGGAAGGAAGGAAGAAAACAGGAGGAGTGGTACCTTTAAGCCATTGTTTCTAGTAACAGCTTTAACTCCTGATTTTGCCCATGTGTATTAAGTGGCTGCTGTGAAAAGGGCCAGATAAGGGAGGGGAGGGGAAGAGGTTGGAAAGGGAACTTGAGCATGTGGATACTATGAGTTAAAAAAGTATAAAAATTATATCTAAAATATACATTAGATATAAATGTTCCAGAACTCATTAAATAAGCTCAAAAATACTGGAAAGTGGCGATTTGAACTATGTTTATTATTTTAAATAAGTAGGGGGACTAATTGAGTGTTTTGAATGTTGTGTGCAAAACCGATCCATGTCACCTTCTCACCGTCATCACTGAACACGGCAAGGCTGGCACACTGGTTTCCAGCATCACAGGCAACACTACAGGTACATGTTTAACGAATAATGTAAACTTTAGTTTTAAGGCAGCTGGTACTAATGCTGCACACAGGCTTAGCTCGGTGCCCATTTCAGAAATGGGATAGTTAGCACTTCAAAACAAGAAACTGAGGGAAGAAAAGGAGAACCAGCATTATTTGACAAAAACAATATGTCAAAACATTTTCCCTTCCATACATACAAAACGAAATACTGGAACATTTAAAAAAACAAAGCCCCCATCCCTCCAACTTCAGCCTGTTCTTTAACAAATATTTCAAAATACTGATAAATAATAGTGACTGCAAGCAGAATTCCAGTGCCAGAGCCAATGGCCCCCAGAAAGTCAGCTAACACCGACAGGGCACCAATGCACAGCCCACCAAAAGCAGCTGCTGTGGGGATATACCTAGAAGACAAAACCCCGAGTCAAAGAGTGCAGAGAATTGGTAAAAATGTGACACTTAAAGGGATAAGTTGTACAATTTTATCCAATAGGGACAGTCTAGTATCCCTGTTACTAGCAGTTACATGCTGGTGAAAACTTCATGATCAAGGCAATAATTTGTGGCTTCCTAATTTGGAGAGACTAAGAAAAGGCAATAGGTGATTTTTATGGCAGAGGATTTGCATCCTCAATTGAGATTTAAAAACTGAAATCATTCTTGAAACGGTTCCCTTGTAAAGATGAAATGAAAACACAAATCCACAAACAATTTGTCCAAGCACATTTTAACAGCATTGTTCATGATAGTCAAAATGTGGGTACAATCCACATTTCCACCCCCTGTCAAACAGAAAAACAGATGGAATATCCACCTACTGGAACATTACTAACAATGAAAAAACACTGAAAGTATCATGCTAAGTCAAACAAGCTACTCACAAAAGATCATATATTTTATGAATCAACTTATATGAAATGTCCAGAATAGGCAAATCTTAAAAAAAAAAAATAAGTTGTGTGGAGCTTGAAGGTATAATGTGGGGGCAAGAATGGGGAATAATGGGTACAGAGCTGCTTTTGGGTGATGAAAGACTGTTAAATCATTACACTGTAATAACTATACACTCTTGATACACTAAACATCCACAAAGCCATGTACTTTAAATGAGTGACTTACAGGTATATGAATAATGTCACTGATGCTATGATGAGAAAACAAAAACTTGATGTCTGGGACACACTCCAGACCAAGTCACCCTCGTGGCAGTGGAGTTATTGTTTGTAAAGCGCTCTCAGGTGACGGGTATAACCAGCCAACACTAAGGAACCTCCCATCTACAAGAGTTTGATACTGTGCTGAGCAGTGTAGGGACACAAAATAGTTTGTATCAACTTTGATGTGGAAAAAATAATTTTTGTTAAATTTGGGTTATTTTGTAATAACCCAAGAAGAAACATACTTGGAATACGAATTAAAACAAAGATTATCACTTGGCAATAAAAGGCGCGTGAGTACATGTGCAAACACTGGCATAAGTGGCTGTATCTGAGACCTTACCTATTAAGCTCATGAACCATAGAGGTGTCTCTGTGGCCCCTCATGACCATTTGCTGTTCTTTAAGCTGTTTAGCTACCTGCCAAGAGAAAAACAACTTTCAAAATCAAGCGTTAACATCTCATAGCTTACTACCTATCAGGTTCCGTGTAAAGTGCTTTCCCACACTAACAAGGAAAATTCAGAAAGTATAAGTGCAACATCATTCCCTCTGAGGTGGCAGAGGCTGCAATGCTGCAAAACCATGTGTTAACCATGCAGTAAGCCAATGTTTCTCAATTTTCTGGTTTACTATCACCTCCCTAAAGAGAAACTACATACTAGGAGTAAGCTGTTGTCAGGTAGGGTTAACCCATTGTTTCTAAAAATCTAAGAATTTTTCACTCACCCTAGAGGGTGAAATTTTAAATTTTAATCCCTTCTGTGAGGAAAGTAACCCACAATATGGTGAAATAAAGAGGTTTGGATCACTCTCTCCCCTAAACAGCACTAAACAGAAACTGAAACTGGAATAAAGTTAGCTGTTCAAAGGAAGATCCAGACATTCATCAACAGACACAAAGGATTTTCCTGAAGGTTTTGCACTGAGGTTGGTGGCTTGCTGTGGGGAAGATGAGTGAAGTGGCCAAGGATGTTGCAACCAGGCACGTAGAACAGGCTGAAATGACATGGCTTATGTCCTATGGGAAGCAGTGAAAATTACCCAAGAATTACTAGGAAAGGGTGCTGTGCAGTCCTGTGTGCACCAGACCATGCTGCATTCCCCAGAGTTCAGCAGCAGAGAGACTGCAAGAAGGGATAAGGGACAAGGGACACTCCCTCCCCTTCCACTGGAAAAATCAGACAAATGCAATGCCACAAATGCAGAGTAGCCAGACTCAGTTACAGAAGCTGGCCAGTGGCAAAGCAAGTATAAACGTCCTTCCCTCCCGCTCTCACTGCAGAGAACACGTAAGCAATGAAAAAATGTTTAAAAACCTAAAAGGATGAATAAAAACAAGCCAAATCACTTACATCTTTGGCTGAAGAACCAGACACCTCTATCCAAGTCTTAGAAAAAAATGCACATGACCCCAACATGAAGATGATGTAAACAACTACATGGACAGGATCCTCAAATATGGCGCCCATGGACTCAGGAGGAGACAGATAATAACAAAGGCCTCCCACTGGATATGAACGAGCAGGACCTCCACCACTGACATCCTAAATAACAAGAACAAAAGGAACACGTGGTCAACCTAACCAGTAAAGAATACATTTGTATGACTTTGCAAACTTAAAAATCATTGACCGTTTTAAGCTAATGAGTTTGTACCAAGATTTACTTTTGTATTTACTACCTTTATTCCTTCAAAATTATATAGCAGTATCTAATAAGTAAAAGAAGACATGACTATATTAACAGAATAACAATTAAAATAAAACATCATAAAACCTCTAACAAGAGAATCTCTCTTCCTAAGGGAATATATTTGCAATCAATATCCAATTATATTTAGATGTAGAAATTTCTGAACTATGAAATAAGAATATTTTAACAAACATTGTTTCAACATATCCTATTAATGTGATCGATAAACTACTAACAGAAGTGTAATAATGCACTGCCTAAACTTTACATGGTTGGCACATTACAAGAAATAATGCTTTAAAAAATCTTTGTAACAGAGGGCCTTCCTGGTGGTGCAGGGGTTAAGTCTCAGCACTATCAGCTATTGCCAACCACTGTATTATGAGTTCATCAGCCAGGGAGCTGACCAATGTGACCTATCTAGCCTGCTGCTCCCCTCAGCAGTGTATCTTAGTAGATTCACCTATTCTCACCCCCACACCTCTGGCCTACACTCCAGTTCTTGTATACATAAATAAATAAAATAAATCTCTAAAAAATATATTTATAATGGAATTTTGTCCACACATTTTTATAGGTGTAGAAATGGAAAAATTTAGTCATATTATGTAACCTCATTAAATACTTCATTAAAATATTCCTATTAAAGGGCAGGAAAACAATTAAAAATTATT